ATCTTTATAAGGAATAAAGTAAGAAAAAAGTTCTTTACGCTCATTAACTCGTAGGGGATGCTCTTAAACATCGCAATCACCAGCGTATGAAGTCATAGTGACTCATCCCGTCCGTAAATGTGCCTTGTCACCGGCTATGTTGATGTCTTGTTTACTTAAAAGATACATAAATAAACTTGCAAAACAGCACTCGTCTATTCGCACACGTAGGGCATTTGTTTGTTCGCTAGCAGTTTTATTGATCGCCATGAGTAAACCCCACGTCCTGGCATTTGCGCAGCTGTTGACACTCATTTTTTCTTCAGCAATATTTTTTTTTCGATAATTGGCAAGCCATCTCATATCCTACAAAGAACTAATTTACAGTTTTTACATTATAAAGCACTTTCCGTCTCATTGTGCTCTATTTGAAATATTTTTGCCCAACGTTACACTCGTGTACAAACGAGCGTTTATGTGTTTTTAATGGCTCGTCAGAAAATAGTCCGTGAATCATCTGTAAGTAAAGCATCTTAACTGTTTAGAATTCTATGGATAAGGTCTTTTACTAATAAATTTATGTTAGTATAACTCCATAGAGCTCGTGTGGCGTAGTTGTTGGAGGCGCTCTGCAACACACACGTGGAATCGATCCCGGCGCCCATGGCCCACCAAGCCTTCCATCCCTACAGGGTTGATAAAATGGTACCAGACTCGTCTGGGAGGATAGCAGCGCTGGCTCAATACATCGGTAGGCCACCGCGAGTCATTATAAAAGCCATATGTGCATTCAATTGCCTCCAACGATGCTTAATGAAGTCGAATGCATGGCGCATCCCTCGGGCATTGATCAACGCCGAGAGATTTTTTTTATGACGCTATAGAGCATATTTCAGTGGTTGTAACTGTGGATAGGCTAAGTGTCTGATAATAAGTTGGTTTTTGTTTATAAAGTCGAGTTTTTGAACAGTTAAAAAACATTAGTCATCATGCTGTTACGACTCTCATAGTCTTCTTTTCTCCAACGTTGCACATTGTTTTAGTCTTAATGAATTTTATTTCAAATATTGTAATAGGGAATTAGTTTTAAGTGTCATTAAAAATCAACGTTAGGTCTGTCGCTTAATTTTTATGCAATCAAATTTAGTCAAGAATCATAGTCGTAAGACGGGAAATTCCTGAAGAAACCATGGATGGTCAATCAGCACTCAACACGTCACGATAGAAGGAAGATCGCGACAGATTCCCAGTGGTACACCAGCATACGAACCCGATAACCTCTGTGGATGACCGACACCAGGCGATGCAACCAACGGAGGAGATGCTGGGTCAGCCCAGCTGTTAGTTGAGGCCCGAGCAAGTAAAGCCAAAGTAGATTACACCACGAGCCGATTTTGAACCTCAGATTTAAGAACTATTATTTGTCTCAGACTTATTTAAGAGAATGAAGGCTATAATCTACACATTTTTGCCAACATTCTTGATAAAAGTTCATTTGTTTCCGAAATAATAGAAATCCGAGGTTTTCGAATAGACCAGTTATTTGAAAGTATTTTCTGCTGTGGCTTGATTGTTGAAGATTATTCTCTGGTAGTGCTTGTTGAAATACTTGAAGAAAAAGCTGATAATTGAAGTCTGTACGAACTGGTGAGTTGTCGTGGCACAAATTTAATAAGTAGCGAGTGGAATAATTAGTTGGACACTTGTCGCCGGGTTTGGACAGTATTGCACAGTTGCCTCCGTAGATTTCGACGGAGGATTTGCATCGAGATTTTGCCTGCGAAGCAGTATTGGTCCAGGATTGTCCCGCCTAAGTTGTGACGGCGGCCAGTTTAGAGTTGCAGAATAATGAGTACGTATTACTCTCGGAGGCTCTTTGCGGTACGAGGACGCTCGTAAGATGGAGCAGTAACGTAAAAATGCTGCTACAGATTTCAGGATGTAATAATTAGAAGGACCGATGCCGTCGAGTTCCGAAGAATACTGGTGATTGCACTGGTCAATTTGTCATCACACTTGGCACGACAGGTAGTCAACTGAAATCCCTATGAAACAGACCATTGGGCTTAAGTTTATAAGGAAAACTAGGCCCCAAAAGAATACTATTCCAAACCCAAATATGAAGATCGCTTTCAAGCTCTTGTTTATATCGAACGGAATAAGCACCGCTGTGAAGTGGTGCTTAAATAACAATGGTCTAGGGAGTTTTGTGGCACTTATAGAACTTCTACCGAGCACTCTATGTTGTCGGTTAGTTTGATACGGCCTATATAACCACCTATATAAAATGGGAGATCGCGAGATTTGCTCTTAAGACAGTGATGAAGAATAGGTCAGGTGTAATAGACCTGACCTGCTGTGAGATATGTAGTGATGGATACACTGACAAAACGGAGAGACAACTGTGTCTGCGTCGAAGAACGCCTAGACAGAAAGTTGAAGATCCGACTGGGTACTCTTTTAGATACACGTGTGGCACAAAAACAAAGGTGCCGATTTTGAAGTAGGAATCATAATACCAGCTACTCAAGAAGGCACAGGAACCAAAAAAATCAACTCACAAGCCCTTGAGGCATTAAGAATAAACTTCAAAAATCCAGAAATGAATGGGAAGGACGAATGACTCATTATCACGCGCGAATGAACGCAATATTTCAAATTATTTTTTTGATCAGAATAAAGTTCACTATTTGTCGTAGGAAACCATGGTTTGGTTTCACTACCTGGGGAGGAGGACGATGAGCTATCTTCAGCACTTTCATTTTTTCACTTATTTTGTAATAATATTGGGAAGCGGATAACACGGTGGCAGTGATGTCTGTCATCACGAGCATGGTGCTAGTTCGATTCCGCTTAGCGCTTAGGGGGCACCCAAGCCTCTCATCCCTCCGGAGTCGGAAAATTGGTGCCGAACTTCTCTGGGAAAAATCACTCTCTGCAATCCAAATGGGAACGCTCCAGTTCGGCTATTTTAAGACTCTAGGGAGAATCGATCGACCTGTATTCTACGACATTCTCGATGAATTGAAAAATCCTCAAGCAGCAACCGAAGGTACACGTAAAGTTGGAAGGTCTTCGTGGACAATGGATGCGAGGAAACGAATTGAATGTGAAAAATGCTGGGATCCGCACAGTAAACGTGAAGACGGATCATGTAATATAAATAAAAAAATATTATGATGTTTTTGATTTGGTTTTAACTGCGTTCTTATTAGAACCAGGGAATACTCAATGAATTATAAAATTTGGCTGGACAATACGTCTAGGCTCTCAAGAAGGCGAAGTCGCCGAAACATCGGCCACCAAATTTCAAGAACACGTGGTAGCAATCACTCATTAACTCAACAAGGACAATTTTCAAAATATAGACTAATTAACGCCGAATTTATTGAAAGACGGCCTTTCAAATTATTAAACTAATGGTTCGAGCAAATGTGATATGCTGAAGGGCTGGTAACTGCTTACCGCTCCTAGCCTGCTCCAAGGACCCTTTTTGTGTTGCCTGTCTCTACAACTATACTTCGGCTCATTCTGCAAAGGACGTTGTTCATGAGGATTGGTTTGCTGATGTCCCTTTTCCACTCAATAGGATGAATAGCTTTTTATGATTTAGCTACGACTATCGAGCTTGAGGAGTCAACATGATGAGCGACTGAGCTCCAGAGTTGGGCGGAATGAAAGGGAACGCTTGAGAAGCTTTCATGAGCATTGAGAATGTAGTTAAAACTGCTATGGACACCCTACTCCGTGGCCACGTTTTCCACTGGACATGTCTTCCTGCCCTAACATGCGCGTCGGTAACTTGGTCCCTGCGTAAGCAGGATGAAAGATCACTCGGCACTATCCAACGCGCAGTCGAAAGGACGATCCTAAGAGTATCCCGTACCATGGAAATAAGAGAGAGAATCCGAAATTCCGACCTACGTCAATTATCGGAGGCCAGAAACGCCGCCGCAGATGAAAATGTCGAAGGCTAAGTATGTCGGTTACATAGTGCATCTTAACAAAAACTAGTGGACGAAAAGCCGTTAGCAGTTTGGTTTAATGGGAAGTCAAAAACACTAGGAATGCAACAGAGCTGACGGTCAGAATTCTTCCCGAGGTTGCTAGAAGAAAAATTTGACGCTCACCGAGTTTTTGCGGTGAACAAAGCCCACCGGGTTACTCATAACGTGACAGGAAGAAATGGAGATTTTATTGGAGCACTCGGGAAAAACAAGATGATAACCTACACATTAATTCATCCTGTTATTTTTACTAATTTTTTGATTATCATTTCATTGGTATTCGTCGCCTATCGTCATCTTAAGTTCCCAGATACTCCGATTACATGAGATTTGTCAACGTTTGTTGAAAAGTCGTTAGTTCCAGCATTGTCTTCTTTCAGTCTAATTCTCCTTTCAGACTACCTATGAATGAAGGAGCTAGCTGTTCTTCTGCTGTTTACAGGATGTGCAGAAGCAAGGATTTCTTGCCGGGGTTTAGTTGGAGAGCCTGTTGACTGGTTAGTTCGCTTCTGCTTTTTCTGGCTTTTTTTCTTCGCAGTTTTGCAATCCTGCATTTTAAAATGCTTTTGACAGGTATAATCTTACAGATCTCACTTGAAAAGTGTGAGGAAATCTCATCCGTTTTCCGTTAATCTTTAACTGGTCTGATAGATCCTTAGCACTGCCTTCTTTATCCATTTACCTATTTATTTGAGTAACCCGAAATCACATATAGTACTGATCTCGGCAATTCTTTTAGTCGGTTCCTTGTCTCACAGAAGTCATTCACGAAAGTCTTCGGACCTGTGCGGGGTTTTGGTTGCCATTTGAAGACTATGCCTTCTTCTTCATGGTCGCTAAATTCTAGTAGAGCTGATTCCTTCTTAAATTATAGGATGTCTGCATTGGTGCCTTTCCCTTCTTCTACCACAGAGGTATTCGCTTGCCTTTTCGAATCAGAGGGAGCTTTTCGTAGACGAAGTGCGGACCAAATTGCCAACTCTAAAGATTATGGGGACTTTTGTGTTATGCGTGTTAATGCGCTTTGTGTGCCTCTTGGTTAACGGTGTTTTCTTCCAAACGCGTTTCTTGCTTTAGTTGGGCTCGATCTACTCCAGAGTGATGAGGAATCTCGCTGTCTGCTAGCAGGGTTTTCTTGAAGAAATCCATCTTACCAGATCGTGCCGCGTTTGTTATTCGAGGTAGCTCAGTGACTTTCGACAAGTGTTTGGCGACCACGTCGATGATGTATCCAACTCTAATCGCTTTCCATCTATCTGCTACAATCTCGTTCCTGGTATGCAGAAATCCACTTGGATTAGCTAGCTTATCTCCATTGTCAATTTCTGGATAGTGCATTGGATAGTGTCACTCGCGTTTTCATGCACCGTGTTTGACTCAGATCTTGAAGTCATGACAGCGCTGAGGTAACTATGGAGTTAAATAAAAACACAATATCTTTCACTTTTCCGACAAATTTTTCGGCGCCCATCAAAATCTTTCGCGTCTACCCTCTTCTTCAACTGTCTCATATCACTGATCATGTTAATTTTTCGCTGAAGATCATGTTCGAAGCGATAAATCTGGTGGTTTTCGTTCTTTTCGAACTAAATATAGTACTGAAATAAAATCACTCTGACTCGGTCTTCGTGAAATTCGGTTGCAAACTATTCCTCCGACACTACTAGTAGTGGTTAAGCAGACATTTCAGTTGACTGCTGTCAGTTGTCAGTTGTCGCTTTACGTTTATATTTACGCTGAACATGATTATTCTTTGCAAGTGGTGCTTGACATATATCCCGTATTGTTAGGATCGAGTCTTTGTCAAGGACCCGGGAAGTTACCAGGTGAAAATGTTCCACCTTTATAGAGAATAAAACTTCAAAGGTAACAAGGTCAACACTTGGTCCACATACATCACAATGCATGCACAAAGTTGCTGGTGGTCTGTCTCGAACCTTTTATTCGTCGTCCGTCATTGCTCCACAACTTATCGGACGTGAGCTGGAAAGCGAACTGAAGGAACTATTTTATGACTGTTTATTCTTACCAATTATATTTAACACACATCGTATAATAAACAATAACAATAGATAATATACGCGCGTGTGTGGCGCAGTGGTCGGAGGCGCCTTGCAACACACATGTGGAATCGATCCCCGCGCCCATGGCCCACTAGGCCTTCCATCCCTCCGGGGTCGGCAAATTACCACCAGATTTGTTTGGGAAGATAGCAGCACTGACTCGATACATCGGTAGGCCACCGCGAGCCATTGTAAAGGCCAGATATGCATTCAGTCACCTACAAACGATACTCATTGAAGCCGAATGCATGACGCATCCCTCAGGGATCGATCAACGCCGACAGCTTTATCCTTTATTCCTTTTATGTCATAAATAATAGTAACGAATAACGATAATACTAACAGAACTATAATTAATACATCTTTCATGAATTCTGCTGTATCAAATTTGAAAAATTGCATAACGTGTGTGACTTGTAACGTGAAAAGTAGGTGTAAATGAGCTTATTAAAATTTGCCAAGCATTACATGGTTAACTGTTGAGGCCATGGTAAAATATACATATATAGAGTACGGTATGATACAAACATATATTGTTGGGTTTCGCGTTACGATAACAGTGGTTTCTTTACTTGATCACATAGAGGATTGACGAACTTAAAACCTGGTGACTAGCTGGAAAAATTGTTTTTTTTCTCATAACAGCTAATCTATAACTGCACAAGTGGATTACCAAGGATGAACGATGAAGAGTTCGGCGTTGATCAATGCTTGAAACATGCGCCATGCATTAACTTTAGTCAAGCATCGTTAGAGGTGATTGAATGCGTATTTTGTTTATAAAATGACTTGCGGTGGTCTATCGATATATCAAGTCAGTGTTTTCATCCTCGCAGACATCCAGTATCAATACGCCGACACTGGAAGGCTTTGTTCGCCTCGGCTCGGGATCGAACCAGCGACCCATCCAGTTTATATTGTAGGGCATAACTAACCACATCAATACACCTACACCTACATGGCACAGGTGGAGAAAAAGATATTTTTAATTGTTGCCACCTCATCAGATATAGGAGGAGAAGAAGAGGAAGAATAACTTACCAGAATTCCGATATTTTTTTTGCAGGTATGTTGTCTATAAGCCACCGACAACTTCAAAATCTACTGCAAAGTTCTACTACGTGGATTCTGCTCACAGTACTTGGACACTCGCTCCACGGACAATAAGTGATGAAAGAACAGTTGTTGGAGCTACTCTTGAGGAATACTACAGACGCGACCAGGCGGGACCAAGAGACTTGGAATAGAGCAGGACTTCTGCAGTGACAAAAATTCTAAAGACTACCTCCCCAATAATTTAGTCTATAGATTTTTTCTTTTGGCATTTTATTCTTTATTAAATTGTTCATTTTGAACAACGAAGTTTTAAGCTTCCTCTTTGGCTTTTAGTTGGCACGTTTCTAAAACAAATAGTGATAATAAGGAAATCAACATCTTTGTTTTTCTTAAATTAACCTTTATCTCTGACTTCGTTTTTTAATCGAAATTCCAAGCCCTGTCTACCTTCAATTTTTCGGTGCATAAGCTCCTTAGTTATTTTCCAGGGTTTTGTGTTTTCACTTGAGTTTACAGTGAGCGTGTGGTTTTTCCATCCAATTTAAATAAGTGTTGGATTAGTAATTAACGGAGGCAATAATTCGAACAGTCTTTAAGTATCTGTGTGTGTTAATATATAATATTACATTTGAATAACTAGCTGAGAGAAGGGCGGAACAAAGTACACGCATGGTGTGGTGGTGAACCAGTTAGCCACGGAAAGGGTGGTGCCGTGTTCGATCCCCACCGCAGACATTTGCGGTCCGGAGTTTTGTAAATATCTCATCACAAATAATACTCTGCAGTAAACAATTGTAATGGGCACTAAATAAAAAAGTAAACATTTAAGCTTTATTTATAGAGATCGTTCATATTCGTATACAACGACGACAGTCCCTCAGGCAGAGTGGATTCATACAGAGGTCACAGCAAAGGCGTAGTGGTTTTTGACGAAGACACTGGCTTCTGGTTAATCCACAGTGTACCAAATTTTCCACGATTAGGTAGTTTTTCGTTGTTTAGGATGCTACTGGGCTTTTGGTTTGAGAGCAGCGCTACAGATTGGATACATTCTAGCTTAATATCTGATTTTTCAAAACACAGAAATGTAGTGCCGGTAATAAGTGTTATCTTTTCTGCTTACACTGTATTCACTTTAGGTTCATATTCATATCCAACTACTGGTTTGAAATTCGGCCAGATGTTCCTGTGTTTAACGCTACCACTAAGAGCTCTTAGCGATGTTGGCGAACACCTACGATATGTCCAGGCTACGCCATTCTTTTCGCAACTTCCCAGTTTTTTCTCTGAGAGGTTTGAATACTCACCATAGATTTGGATTACATAGAGAAAAGTTTACACATGAAGAAGTTTGGACTGTAGAGATTGGAAACTAGCTTTAACCCATTTTTTGGATTATACACCATCTGGCGTTAGCACCCAAGTGTTCTTGGTGCCGTTCAATACGGTAAACGTCCTATTTCAATCTCCAACCGACACAGCAAAGCTCCTCATCCATCCGGTGCCATGAAATTGGTGCCAGACTTGTCTGCCGGCTCCATGTAATTCCAGCTGAGAACCAGCCGACATGTGACATGGGGTGGTGTAAAAAATCTAACATCTATAAAGCATAATTCCCTCAGACCCAGACAAGATAAGTCGTCCCAGAGTTGCAGATTATTGCAATGGTACCAAACTTGTCTAAAGTGTACAAGCACTGACTTGATTCATTGATAAGCCCCTGAAAATCACGACATGGGCCAAATATGCATTGGATCAACTCTACGATTCTTAGACCATCTAATGCCCTCAAAACTGTCTAGGAATTGATCAACGCCAAACATTTTCCTCTCTCACTCTTCATAAAGCATTTTGTAGATTTAGATTCCCAGTTTTGGTTAATATCGTCAAGAAGCAGTCGTTATCAAAGTCGGACACTGTTTTCACTCGAGTTGGTCAACTTATCACCACTGATGGGATGATAGTTAAAAGCTTTGCTAAACACAAAAAGTTCAACAAAGGTGAGCTTACTTTGTGGAGTCTCTTGAGAGTCTTGTTTTTCTTTTTCCGCATATTTCATCATATTGGTTTGAATCTTTAGATAGATCGTTTCATATGCTTTGTAGTGGGAAGTGGAAAGCATTAGCTCATTACTTTACATGATTCCATAGGCGTCAATGTAGCTATATACAGATCTGTGGTTCGACTTAGTAGCACCAGGACTGGGTACGAACTTGGCAGTGGAAAGTTGGTTAAACGGTGGCTCCAACGATTTAGAAAGTGTCTGCACCGACAGAACAAGTGTACGTCTTTTGTATTCCACCTAGATTTTCCACGTGACTTTTCCAAGGATCGGTAGATCTAAAGATCTCCATGACTGAATAGTTTCAAGCTAATTGCCATTTAAGTCTTTTAGTTTGTAGCGAAAATGTATGCTATAAGTTCTGATCGTTGCTTCCTATCGTCACGTAGTCCCATATACATCTTTTATATAAACTGCACAATGGACTCTTCGAAAAGTAGAATCCCAGCTTCCATGTAATACTTCTGTTCAAGGAACTCTCAATTACTCATCTGAGCATTTAGGTATACGACGTCACATCTGTTATGCTACCAGATATATCTTTCAATAGCTCTATGGACCATTCTAAATGGGCTGTAAGTGACACTAGTGGAGGAATGAATGTGATATGCGTTGGAGACCTCAATCGTCAGGTTAATTCGCAATTATTTTGCATCAGTATAAAATTCAATACCTATGTTTCTAACAATTCTTCTTTAGAAGTCACAGTTTCGTCGTGGCGGTGGAGCGGTGTGTTTTCGTCACCGTAGATTCTGGAACACTCTTCATACCACTGTGAAATCTGTTCAACCATGTAATAGCAAAAATATCCATTCGTATTTCAGCACAGCCTTGTGCTTTTCATCGTTTATAGTTTTAAAAGCTTTCTGGATAGACGTAAGCTGACAGATGTACGCGTTTATGTCCTCTTAGCTGTGGACGGTTGGGTTTTCCCTGGAATCCCAAGATAAACCATCCAAGAGCGTCCTTAGGTCTTCAGCATGGCATTCACTGACCGCTGTGGATAGAATGGAAATGTTATGACCGCTGGTTCGTGGGAGTGGGAAGTTTGCCGCCTTTCAAGTTTCAAGTATGTTTCTTCTATGATCGTAGCACTTCCTGCGAATGGACTACTATCACTCAAATTGCAATGCATTCGTTTAAACGCTTTAAGTCGTAGATCTGGCTACCCTTCTTACGTAATGCATGCGTTTTTCCTTTCTAATTGATGGTATGGCACCTTTTAAAGTCCAGTGCTAACGATGGTAGAAATCGTACGTCGTAAGAGCATCAGAGCATTCTGATGAACAAATATGCGATCGATTCCACTCTGCTTGGATGGTTAGGACTCCATATGGTGTTCACGATTACTGAAGAGAAAATTGGTAGGCCTTCCTTGATGGGTGCATTTTTCAATGGTCCTTCTTCCTTATTTAACTTCCTGCAACGTCTTAGGTGACAAGTTAACTATAACTATCAATCGATTTCAGATTGGTATGTCTTCCTTGGTGGGTGTCAAAGCGCACTTTTCTGCTGTTTGAAATGACAATGAGTTCCTGGATGAATTTCATTCTTCTTCGCTGTTATTCAACGCAGCTTCCCTTTGAGAGCATTTTCTTTGGTCATATTTTGTCAATTAGCGCAAAAAAAAAACAGTGAAGAGATATGGTACTCAATAATACGCGCATGGTCATTGGTTCGAACCCCGCTCAATCAGGTCTCCTATCGTTCCGGGATTCGCAAATTATTAATGGACTTTTCCGAGAAAACTTCCTTCATGTCCACTAAGTCTGACGACCGCTTGTGCTGAAGACCAGGTTACGGTTACCTAGAGTGGCTATCACAAGATTTCAGGTAGAACCAAGTAGACCAGTATTCATCGATGTTCGTGAAGAAATACAAAATCTTCAGTTATGAACAGAAGCCACATGCAAATCCGAAGACCTTTGTGGATGACGAGTACAGTATAGTAAGATAAATTAGAGAAGTATTGAGATCCGCACAAGTTTGAGTCATTAAAAGAATTGAAAAGTCTTGCCATTATGGTCAAACTATTGTCTGCAATCCGCTGTTAACAATAAAGTATGATAGAGAACAGGACATGGCAATATCTAATAAGTAGAGGCAATTATTCTGCAATGAAGTGAAAGAGGTCAAGACCGATTGTAAATGCCCCTTCAATATGTCATATAAGGTCTTCGTGACACCATCATGGCACAGTACACGGCTTGCATTTCTCGTCTGTTCACATTTTAACTATCTAGTAGAGAACACGTGTTCTTTCCATGAACCCTATAATTTTCATGTAGTGGCAAGCTAAAATTAATATCTCCGAGACAGCATTGCCAATATTTCCCTGCATCGTAGTTTACAAAACGATTTGATGAACCCAGATTCAATGAACATTCCCTGGTGAAAGATTACAACAAGAATTGTCAACAGCATATACTGACTGACTCAGAACCTCGTCGTTCCAGTCTTCAAAATTTCGACCACCAAACACCTACTTCTTCTGCTTCTTGAAACTAATGCGAAAACTTCTTACTACTATATCTGAGCGACCCCTTGCGTTAGCAACCCATAATGCTACCATTCATGTCATTTCTATTCACTTACTTTCACTTACAGCAAGCCCGCCTTCGCTCTCGTTTTTTCTAGAAATCAGTCGTAATACCACAACGTATTTCCATACTCCCTATTCAGGAATACCAAGTCCATCATCACAATTACTCCCAGAGCATTTCAAAAGAAAACGATAACCTAGCGACTAATTCAATAAGAATGTGTCAAACTCCTGTCCACTATATCATAAATTGTTCGTATTGTTGGATATGCCGGAATCCTGCAGGGTATCCAGTAAAGGAATCAGAAGATGAAAACCTTTATATTGAAAAACAAAATTCTTTTATTTGTCACAGTATACACAATTTATTCACGGATCTCTTTCATATGAGGGATCTCGAGCCGGTTAGTCGCGAGCTTACGTGGCGCGTCTCCAGGTGGCGGTTGGGGGTTAATTGGGGACCAAAAGCGACTTTTGCTTACCTGAGACGCAGGTAGATTCAGGAGATGGACACCCTGTTTCTGCTGCGCTGATTTGGTACATACTTTCTACATTTGCCAGGTGTATTCATGCATGCGTGTGTGGGTGCGTTCTTGCTTATGCGGATTGTATTCTACGAGTTAATTCGGCCAAAAGCCTGCAATCAAGTGACTGGGGAGTATATGGGGGGCGGTTAGGAGTCGCCTCTAACAAATAAGCACCAGGTCCACTCTGCGAGAAAGCTACACGTGAGTATACCCAGCACTCACGTTCAGAGCCCAGCAAGCTATACGTGGGTATCAAAAATACTAAACACAGTAAAAAAAAAAAACGAGCCTCATTCCCCTAACCCAGAAAGGGACCCTAATTTCGCAGCGTTGGTACGAGTACGGAGAGGCTGCTAATCTCAGGAGCAATGGAAGCTGCCTGGATTTCAAAAAACTATCGTGATGATCTGCACCTACAATGCACGTACACTTGCATCCGAGTACTCGTTAGAAGACTTGCTCATGCAAGCAAGAAGATAAAGTACGACGTCATCGGCCTGGCCGAGATGAGAAGACGCCAGCCTTTCAACGCCGTTTATGACACCGGACAAAAACTATTCTTCGGAACATGCGGCAGTAGAGGAGTCGGCGGCGTCGGCGTTCTCGTCAACACCAGTTTGTCCATGAACATCGATTCATTCGAACAACTTACAACCCGAATCGGACGTTTACGATTAAAAAGACGTGGATCAATTCCGGCTTTGACCATCATCGTCGTTTACGCGCCGACATCAAACTATGACGAAGAAGAAGAAACGTTCTATATGGACTTGGAGAAGTTCTACAGAGAAGACCATACATTCTTCAAGGTCATCATTGGAGATTTCAAGGCCAAGATTGTACCAAGGAGAACGTCTGAAAAGCGTCATATTGGGACCCACGGATTAGAATGGAACGAACAGTGTGAGCGGCCGTCTGAGTTTATCATGGCGACCAAGACAATCCAGTGTAACTCGCAATTCCAGAAAATTCCAGAATCTCCGCACTCGGTGCTAGATGTGGGAATCTCCCTATAGAGAGTACCATAACGAAATAGACCACATCATAGTAAATACAAAGTTTTGCCTAACCGATGTCGCTGTTGTCCGAAAATTGTACACGGGATCAGACCACCGTCTCCTTCGTGTAAGATTCTATTTCTCGCGAAAAAGAGAAAAAGCCGTTAAATTCAAAAACCGAAGTCCCAGAACCACCACAAACTGGGACTTATTCAATTCATTAGTCAGCTGTTGGGAAGACGCCGTTGTTGATAACATCGACGAAGAATACGATCGGCTCACTCAACATCATCAAGCTAGCGCTATGAAAGCTAAGAGTTTGAAAGTCACCAAGAGACATCTCTCTCAAGAAGCTCTCGAGCTGATGCGCCAGCGTCGATTTGCGCGAGCTGCAGGCAGCCGCGAACTAACTTTCGAACAATGCATATAGGCGATAAAGGAAGATCTTAAAGAGAGAAGAGCAGCAGTAATGGTCGAAGCTGCAGAGGCTGGGAAAAGCATTCGCAAAACTCACCGAAGCTTCGCCAATTAAAAGACCAAAGTGATTGCTGTCCGGCACCCAGACGGAACAGTTAGAGCGTCCAGAAAGGTAATGGAGAAAGTCATTCACGAATAGTACTCGGATCTCTTCGATAGCTACCTCCACCTTCTGTCATATGAAATAGAGGATGGATATGTTGTACCATCGGTTCTCCCTTCCGAAATTCTACATAACATTTCGTCGGTGAAAAATCGAACAGCACCAGGTTGGGACAAGATAAGACCAGAACACCTGAACCTTCCTCCAGTCCTCGTAACCACCCTGGATCGGCTCTTCACTCGTTACCTGTCTGAACGCTCAACGGAACGAATATCTCCGAATGCTCCAGTTATACCTATCTAGGTCGGGAAATCAATGTGATGAACTACCTAGCTCCAGAGCTGATCAGAAGAAAACGAGTGGTTTGAGGAGCTTTCAAGAACATCGAAGATGTAGTGGAGACAACAAAAAACACCCGGCTCCGTGCCCACCTTTTCGACTCAACGGTACTTCGCGCCCTAATGTTTGCGCCAGAAACCTGGTCGCTGCGCAAGCAGGATGAAAAATCACTCAGCGTTATTGTACGCGCACGCAGTCGGAAGGGCGGTGCTAGGAGTAACGCTTGTCACGCAAGTGAGGGAAGGGATCCGAAGCTCCGACTGCGTCAACGATCAAAAGTCAAGGATGCCATTCTGTACGCCAAACAGTCGAAGATAAGGTGGGCCGGACACGTAATGCGTATGAATGACAACCGATGGACAACAGCCATTAGTGACTGAATTCCTCGGGATGTCAAACGTACTGCAGGAAGACCACCGACCCAATAGTCAGAGTTATTCACAAAAACCCTTGAAGAAATGATGCTCGACGAGTCCCTAGAGCGAGCAGAACCCACTGGGTTACTCTTGCACGCCACAGGGAAAAATGGAAGATTTACTGGCACCCGGTCGAGCAACTCGACGGTCAACGGGAGTACAGGTGATACAGATGATACACAATTTATTATCCTTTTGTACATCGAATAACAAAGAAAACTGTTTGCGATTAATACAACAAATGGTTAACAAGGTTTGCTCAAATGACTAGACGTCAAACCCAATAAAACTTTTAATTGCAGCAATTGGATCACCGTTCACCTCGATAAGCTTCTTTTCTACAACGCTCTGAAAAAGGCTATATTAGACCTACATTTTACATACACTGGTCAATACTAACTGACATTTTATCGAATACGAGTTCTTCGGGGCAGGAAAAGATCGAAAACGCTTTACAGTTTAGCACCAGGAAAAAAAACTCATTTTTCATATATACTTTCTACTTTAACGAAAAAAGTTAAGCTATAGTGTTGTCTGCAACCGCCAACGTACCATAAGATTCATATCTAGGTATTTGCCCACTACTAATGGTGACTATGATTGGTCATGAGCAACTTAAACAGAAAGGCTATTGAACACTTCTAGAATTTTCCAAAAATGTATTCCCAGAATCGCAGTTCCTTTCTAACATTTTCATGGATATTTCAGTACAGATCGGCCAAAACCGTGAGCCACATGAATTGTCTTGTAATATTATCGTTCCTTCTATACAAAAAACTTAATCGGTGGGTTTAACAGTAGTTAACGTGTTACAACAGCGCACAATTTTTGATAGTTGCCACGTGGGATCATGGACGTTTTATTTCCTCACGCGTCTTATGAGTCATATTGAAGTCACATTGTCTGAAATGAACACTTAAGGACTTTACCAACATAGAAAACAATGTAACATTTAGGTTCCCAGGACCTTCGATAACTCCGGAATAGGTCAGTAGCTAGTGCATGAAGGTAATGAACCAGTATATTTTCGCGAACCACATGTGTTTGGAAGCTAAGATTTCAATGTAAGTATAATCAAAAAGTACGGAATAAAGAACGTTGTGGAAACACAGATGTCTTAAACAAATGAATTGTTTTCCGGAGTTAGCCTCCAGATGAAAATCTCAGAATGCCAATGAGGGTTCACTGACGTTCGGCCTTTGGAAAATGTCCTTTTGAATCCGAAGTGAGACCGGATTTTTAAAAGTGCTTTTGGTCTATCACTTCTCGGCGAACAATAGAATCTTCGACATAATGGAGCTTAGAAAAATGTTAGATGGAGAAGAACTCCTGTACTGACAAGTGTCCCATGTTCCGAGAGGTACATCCTCCCAATATGTACCTAATAGAAGATACAGCCACAACGTTGCTGAGATATTTGCAAAACTCTGGGCAAAAACTGGTATAGATACGCTAATCGCTAGCTATAAGAAAGATATACAATCCCAAATAGCTGAAGGATATCAGCTCATTTGGGAATCATATAAAATCGACCCATACGTTGCCAAGCTTGCCGACACTGTGAATAATTATCAGGTAAAATTTTCGAGCTATTGTTGAAAGGGTGCATTTTTAAGACTCATATTTGTGCTTTCAGGAACGTGTAGAAGAGTTGATCTTAATCGCAGACAATATCGAAGTTTATCTTGCTGCGTTGGATACATGTCAGTATAATGCTGTCACTATTGGTGCTCAGCTAGCGTCAATCCAGAAATCCGTAGATCAGTTAGCACTAGGGAATTATTCAAACTTGACTCAGTGGGTGGACAAACTTGACAAGAAGGTTCGTTGTGTCAATTTTTAACAGCAGATAAGAGTAGCCAACTAGTGGATTGGATTAGTATGTTGCATTACTCAGGCTATAAATGAAGTTAGTGTGGTCTTATGCCTACCTAGGAATCCAAAACAAAGACTCTAAATACTCTAACTCAACGTGGTTAATTTATTGTTTCATGAGACATATATTTTGCAGATAGAAGCGAAACTCGCTGCTCGTGTCGAAGAAGCCATTCGTCTCTGGACGTTAGTGTTTTCGGGTAGTGAAGAAGTGGATGAGTACAGGGAGAGCAATGTCACACTACCTCCAGTTCATCCTGTCCTTATCGAGGTCTGGATTTCTGTGGAACGGCTTCATACTTGGTTTTTATGCGTCTACAAATTCAGATTCGCCTTACCGCTCAAACTATCTACATTAGTCCATCAATAGAGCAAGCTAGAGCGAAGTTATTAGAACAGCTGGTGGAGTGGCATGCAGTTGTTACTAGCCAACCGCGTATTAGTAGCACCCGTTTTCAGGTGAGCCTATCAGTTTATCCTTTCTTTTAAACAACTTAACTCCACCTTAACAGTTAGCAATGAATCGCGATATGGATGTTGCCACGTACAAAAATGTACTGAGTTGTCTTCCTAATGGCTTAGGAGTGCTTGAAAATGCTTACATCACTGTGGATCGAATTTTGAAGGAGGTGAGAGATTATTTACTTCATGGAAATCTATTCTACATTCAATTTATGAAGTGTAAATTTGTCGGGCCTTGTATTTAGTAATTGTAGTCTGTTTAATAGGTGGATGATTATGTCAACGAATGGTTACGATACCAAGCCTTGTGGGATCTTCAAGCAGAAATGCTCTATGAAAGATTGGGCACTGATCTCTCTAAGTGGATGAAAACTCTAATAGAAATCAGAAAAAGCCGTAGTACTTTCGACACTCAGGTGAACTCGTTGTTCTTCTTGAGTGAACGAAATCTCTAGGCTGTCTGGTAACAAAGATCGAAAGTTTTCAAGGGAACTTCCATTGTTCTATTTTAGGATACCAAGAAGGAAATATTTCCTGTCATCGTTGACTATGCTAAAGTCCAATTAAAAGTCACTCTTAAATATGATTATTGGCACAAGGAAGTTCTTCAGAAATTTGGCACCGCCGTCGGTGAGTTGTTATGTTATGCAGCGTCATTTACGTTTCCAGACATTCTTTTGTTAAAACCCATTCGCTTTTCTCCGCTCAGGAAACGAAATGCAGCAATTCTTTGGGAATATTTCCAAGTGGAGAGAAGAGTTAGAGTCACAAGGTGTTGACTCAGGCACAACAACAGACGCTGTAGCATTAATTACATATGTGCAGACTTTAAAAAAACAGACTAAGATTGGACAGGAGACGGCAAGTTAAATGAGTTTTCAGTATCTGTGTATCGCTACCATAATCGTAAAGCCTCTTGCTCAGGTCGATCAATTCCGGGCTGCGCAGCGGTTGCTTTCTCAGCAACGTTATCAGTTTCCTACACAGTGGTTGTACGCAGAGAATGTTGAGGGCGAATGGTCGGCTTTGACAGAAATTCTACTTCGTAAAGACTCGTCGATTCAATCACAAGTGAGCGCTACCAATTTTGCATTGTAGTTCTTGCAGCGGGCCAATTTTAATATATACCACTACCCTTCGAGTGTAGCACAGTGGTCGGAGCCGCCCTGCAGTGCACATGGGACCGACCCCCTCCGGGCTCGGCAAAGGCCAGATATGCATTTGATCACCTCCAACGATGCTTATTGAAGTCTAATGCATAGTGCATGACGCACCCTCAGGGCTTGCTCAGCGCCGAGAGCTTTCGCCTTTATCTTTTATTCTTAGTTCTTACCCTTCGAGTGGGGAATTAATAGTAAACTCATGAGGAGGGCGTTAAGAGGGCGTTTATTGCATTGCATCGTGTGGATCCTACTTCGTTCAAGGTCACGGTATCTTTTACAATTTTTGGATTTCTAAGTATCGTCGTAGTTTTATTTAGTCGACTATTGCAATATTTCGTTAAACTTGTATCACGTGTACTGCCTTGAGCGCAACTGAAGCACATAGGCTTTTCGGTTTCTTTAAATTGCTAGTCGTCTCTATGTGTAGTTTCCAGATCAATAATCTGCAGACGAAAATCAAAGAAGAAAATGACATGGTCGAGAAGCGTACTCAAGATACGTTGGCTGAATGGGAAAGAGCAAAGCCCGTGGAAGGAGCGCAAAGGCCGGCTGAAGCTCTTTCAGCTCTCAACACTTTTGAACAAAAGATTGCCAAACTTACAGAGGTTTGAGCATTAACATTTGCTTTCGCGTTTCATGATTATGTTGCATTCGTTTGCAAATGATTTAGGATCGCGAAAAAATGCGAAGGGCACGTCATGCACTTGATATGGCTGATCCAACAGGTGTTCCAGTGGATGCCGACAAGCTGGCCGTCGCTGCGGAAGAGCTGGCTGACTTAAAGGGGGTATGGCAAGCCCTTGTACCGGTGTACACTTCAATTGATGAAATGAAGGTAACTTTTGGTTTTTTTCTTCTTTATTTCTGTTGTTTATGTTCTTATTATCTGGTTTTGTACGTGATTGTTGAATGTTTCTTCTGTTATTCACAAAAAGGTCCACATTTGTTTAAGGAAAAGACTTGGTTATCGGTGCAACCACGGAAGTTGCGACAATCACTTGATGACCTTATGAGTCAGCTGAAGCACTTACCCGTTAAATATAAGAGCTACAAAAGTTATGAATATGCGAAACAGATGATGCACAATTATTCAAAGGTACGTTAAAGTAATGTTCATTTTACTCGCTCTTCAATCCTTTTTTAAAATTTCTAGATGAATATGCTAGTGATGGAACTGAAATCAGACGCACTTAAAGAACGTCATTGGCGTCAGATGATGAAGGAGTTACGTGTGAATTGGAATCTTTCTGAGCTGACTCTGGGACAGGTTCGTACCATACGCTTCCGTGTTAGAATGCTTAAAATATGTTCGGCTTGAGAAATCATGGATTTCTTAATTAAGGTTTTGATTTCTTAACATTTGTAAAGGTCTGGGATGCCGATCTTCAACGACACGAGCATGCTATCAAACAGATTCTTCTCGTTGCTCAAGGTGAACTTGCTCTAGAAGAGTTTTTGAAACAGGTATGTTGCACATTTGGAGGAGCTCCATTATTTATTCTTAGAGTGTTTTTAGAACTTTACCTATTTTAAGGTCTAGAACTGTAATGTTTCCGAAATCATTTTAGATGAGAGACTTTTGGCAGTCCTATGATGTTGAGCTGGTAAATTATCAGAACAAGACACGACTAATCAAAGGATGGGATGAACTATTCACCAAATTAAAGGAACATCAAAACTCGTTGGCTGCTATGAAGCTTTCTCCATACTACAAGCAATTTGAGGAGGTTTCTGCCATGTCAATGCTTTAGATCTTTTTATTGGACAATTAAAAAAAACTTCAGAATGCGCTATCATGGGAAGAGAAGTTGAATCGAATAAGTGCGATGTTTGACGTCTGGATTGATGTTCAACGCCGTTGGGTCTATTTGGAGGGTCTCTTTTCTGGATCAGCAGACATTGTTACATTACTTCCCATTGAAAGTGCACGATTTTCTAGGTATGCTTTCAAATACTACGTAAGCTGGTTTACAGAGAGACGAGAGTCGAGTCACATATGTATACACCTTCATTGTATGAACCAATAAGAATTCGAATCATAAGTGAAATTTACGGTAGTTACGCTGTGAGCGGACGTTTTTGATTCAATTTTTAGCATGGACCACCATTGATCCGTGCTCCTCCCATTTCTTATATTCATTCGTTAGTTATATGAAAATTCTAGCATTTCAACGGAATTTTTGGCATTGATGAAGAAAGTCACACAGTCGCCACGTATTCTTGATATAGTGGGAATGCAAGGAGCTCAACGTCTGCTTGATAGACTTGCAGATATGTTATCGAAAATTCAGAAAGCTCTTGGTGAATACTTGGAGAGGGAGAGGTCATCTTTTCCGCGGTATGTTTATCAAATAATGTCGTTGTTGGACTTCATTGAAAGGGTTTTGTCGTTTTCGTTAAGATTTTACTTCGTTGGAGATGAAGATTTGTTGGAGATCATGGGTAATAGCAAAGACATTTCACGTCTTCAAAAGCATCTCAAGAAAATGTTTGCTGGAGTAACTTCTGTAGATGTTCTAGAAGAAGACCGCGTTGTAAGTGTAGAATGGTATAGTACTTGGGGAAGAGTACAGTAGTTTTTTCTTTTTCTTGTAGATTACCGCTCTCCAAAGCCGGGAAGGAGAACGAGTAGAGCTTGTCCAACCGGTCCACACCAAAGATGTTCGTATCAATGACTGGCTTAAGACGCTGGAAGCTGAGATGAAGCACACCCTTGCAAAGTAGAAATATCTCCAATAATCTTTATGTATTTCAAATTTCTTATCATACCTTTTTAGATTTTTGGGTCATTCCCTAGCACATTTCTCAAAGTTGGATATTGACACTGTGAAACCTGAGGAATACATGGAATGGTTGGATAAATATCCGGTAAATTTTTTCTGGCTTTTCCGTCTTTGCCGGAAACATATTACAATGTTTCAGGCGCAAGTCATAGCGTTGACTTCTGAGATTTGGTGGAGCAACCAAATGGAAATCATGCTGGTCGATGGTAAAACTGTCGAAACAGTAGAGCAAATAGTGTCAGCAACACTCTCCCTACTTGCTGATTCAGTGCTAAAAGATCAACCTCCAATTAGACGGAAAAAAATAGAAACATTGGTCGGTAGTGTTTTTTCTTTATCGAAAGTAATGCGCGTAGTTAAGAAGACCTATGATTTTGTCAGATTACGGAATTCGTCCATAAGCGCGACACTTGCCGAAAATTGATAAGTGATAATGTCAAGAGCGTTTCGGATTTCGGATGGTTGCAGTGCATGCGATTTTACTTCGATCCTAAACAGGTATGCTTTTTCCTACACATTACCACGTAAATGATTGTGAAACTATATCAAGTTATGTGTACATAGTATATGCACGTACATATAAGTATATATGTATATATACTTATATGTGCATGTATAGAGGCTTACACGTGTATATACGTGTACCTATTTGTACACATGCATATATATATATATATATATATATAAATATGCAGAAGGAAGCACGTGGATACGTATGGGCGCGTGTGGCGCAGTGGTCGGAGGCGTCCAAAACACGTGGGGTTGATCCCTGCGGCTAAGGCTCACCAAGCCTTCCAACTCTCCGGGGTCGGCAAGTTGGTATCAGACTTGTCTAGGAGGATCGCAGCTCTGGATGGATACATCGGTAGGCCACCGCGAGTCATTGTAAAGGCCAGATACACATTTCATCACCTCCAGACGATATTTAATGAAGTCGAATGCATGGCGCATCTTTTAGGGATTGATCGGCATCGCGAGCTTTATCCTTTATCATTTTTATAGGAGAAGAAATGGTTACAGGGATAAAATATGTGTTATAGCCCGATGCAGCACGTTGCTGCATTGTGAAGATTGCGAATGCTCAATTCTTCTACGGATTTGAATATCTCGGGATACAAGAGCGGCTTGTTCGTACGCCATTGACAGATCGCTGCTATTTAACGATGACGCAGGCTCTACATTCGAGGTTTGAGCAGCCATTCGTTCTCGTTTCGTTTTCTTATTTTGTCGTGTTAATCGTAATCGTGAATGTGTCATGTGGGTTTTCCACCTTGTTGAATCTTCCAAAATGTCTCCGTGGTTGCTTCTTCATTTCATCATGAATCCAAGACAATTCTGGCTTGTCGCTGAGTTCATTAGACCATTCCACCCTGTATAAGCGCTGTGGTCTCCATATTCAGTCTTTTGAGTCCGAAAGGTCTTTTACCGCACAATATATATTTATTGAATAGCTAGTTGATAACATATCAAAATAAGTGGGATAAGGCCTGAAAATCAAGTCTGTTTATTTAATAATTTACAAAAACCGTTTTTCGGAAGCGTTCGTTGACTAGCAATTTGACTAACAAAGAACAGTTAGCTTTTTATTTACTGCTTTTTATTTCTTCTTGGCGGGATATTATGTGTGGTACAGCCACAATGATGCTGAAATATTTGCGAAGCTCCAGGTCACAAGTGTTTCGCCTGTCTCTCAGGAAGTTTTTTCGATTTAACACGTAATACCCTGCCATGGAAAATTATAATAGACTGTAAATAAAAAGTTAACATTGCGATTTCGACTACAGCTCCAGCTTAACTGGGTTCGTTGCGGATTTGGGCTACCTGGATCAATCCCGTTGACAGGTGAGTTCTGATGGCGGTGATCGATAGAATAAGCCGTTATTCATTTCAGTCGCTATGGTCATTGTATGGAATGTGCTTATATAAAAAAAGCCGGAAGAAACTGAGGATAAAGTGCGAAATGTTTACAAACGCCGACAACAACATATTTGCAATATGGGCCATAGTAAACATAGTAAATAGTAGCATACATATCATTCGTAGTCATAGAATAACAAAGCAAAGTCTCATCTAGAAATCCATCATGTTCAAAACCTGTCAAATTCTCTATTTATTGAGAAAAGACTTTTTGCTGTTGAAAAACCAGGAAGTCCGCAGACGGCGTAGTCGACTGGCTTCAGCCAAGAAAAACGACGCCAAAGCGGAATAGATCGGTGTAAATAGATGCCATTAAAATGGATGTATTTTCGTCAACAAATCTTACATGAGTTTTTACTGGTCGTAGAAGTTTCAAAACACTCCGTTTTCCTAATCGAAGTATTTTAACACAAGAAGGAAGTGATTCTCAACAGATCTCTCTGAGCTTAGCTGCGGTTTGAAAGTGATCTGTGCAGCAAAATTTTTGTCGAAATCGTACTACTCATGTTGGTTTCGTCCATAATTGTCATGCACGATAGGATAGTCTGCATAAAGAGCTTTTAAAATACGCTGGAGAACGGTATTAGCGAGGATCCTTTCGTGAGCAGGATGGCCGCGCGAATGATTCTTTCATTTTATAGGCATATTGTCATGTGACTTTTGACAGGTTCGTATTGCTTTTGGCTTTGCTTCGAGAGAAAAGGATGTTATGAAGATTGGGTTATGCATCGAACTGCTCCTGATCGTGCACCACGCGCCATTCCATTGTTTCCATTAACAAATAATGACACGTTTTTCGTTATTCGTTTTGCTTACTTTCGCTCTGAAATTTGATTCTTTTATGTGACTAAATTCTTTTGTATGATGAATAATGAAAAACTCATCCACATCCTCAAATCAATCCCGTTGACGGGTGATTGCTGATTAGCACCTATAGGTCAGTAATGAGAAAAGGGCGAAACGAAGAACTCACAGCGTGTGGTGGTGAACGCGTTAACCCTCGGAAAGGGTAATAACGTGTTCGGTCTGCACCGCAGGCACTATCGGTCCGGAGTGTTGCAGATATCTCAGCATCATTATCGTCCACTATTGTTTTCCTATCTACTCCAACTCTTGTGGCTGATCACAAAGAGAAAAACTGATCCATCGTCCAACCCCACTGCTGTCAACCTTTGTTAGTTAGTTTTACAACATATGCGGAATATATATCAGAATGTGCTAGTCACTCGCAAGTTTCTTTTCTTGGCTGAAGTACTTTTTCTACCTTGTGATGTAGCTGATACTTGCTTGGAGCAGGGTGTGATCGGATTGAGTACAGAGTTATTGTATTACGAAAATGCCGAAAAAATATCACCTGCTATGAGGTTATGGAATCGATCTTTGTAGTGCTCGCTATGATGGAACTGTTCCATTGTTTGGTGGCGATTTTCTTCCTTTACGAAGAACGAATTTCCAGAAAAGCAATGTGTTGTTGAGGAGAGCCCAGTATGATGATTTATACTGGCCTTTTGGTCTCGAATTCTTAATTTATCTGGTCCTACACTCTGCTTGACTGTCCTTTATTTTGGCGTTGAGTTGTTTGTCCAACAACAATTTTATGGGTGAAAACTTATTTACAGACCACACCATCACGTGGTAATAACACTCCCATGAGCTGCAATGGTTTGTAACAGTTAATGGAAAGAACTTTCTTTTGACGTGAAAGAAAAATGAGGATGTCCAATCGAAGTGATGAAGTTGACGCAAACACATGGGTGTAGGACAAATTCCAAAACACTTGGCAGGGTTCTTTTCTCACGATAGCGGGACATCTGGTCGTTTAATTAGTGTATGTTGGTGTGGAGATTGTTTTCGTACTTCAAATGCAGAGGAAGAGAACTTCTTCATAAACTGAAGTCAAACCATGCTTAAAAAGAAATAAGGAGCAACGATACCAATTTCCCTAAAGTGGTATATGATTCAACCGGAAATCCATAAAACTTTTCTTTGTGTAAATCTAAAACGTTAGCAGCTACCCGACCGACCTAGAATACGTGGTCAGAAAAAATGTTGGCTGTCCTTGAGCCAGTCTCTTAACCAAGCTTTTCACCCACATAGTTGTTTGTAAATTGTTCAAATATCATATTGTTAGCTAATTTAGGTTGGGAGGTTCCCCATTCGGACCAGCTGGTACAGGAAAGACGGAGTCTGTAAAAGCACTTGGCCACCAACTCGGGCGATTTGTCCTTGTTTTTAATTGCGATGAAACATTTGACTTTCAGGTAAAGAAGTGCTGTTTTTTCACATTTTTCGACGTTCAAAGATTGTTTTACCATCTAATTTCAGGCAATGGGAAGGATTTTGGTGGGTCTTTGTCAGGTTGGCGCTTGGGGGTGCTTCGATGAGTTCAATCGCTTGGAAGAACGCATGCTTTCTGCTGTCTCACAGCAAATACAAACTATTCAGGCATGTTCTTATTAGTTTCTTTTCTTATTTATTTATTTAGACTTCACGTAATTGTTGAGTTATGGTTCAGGAAGCGGTTCGTGCAGGTGGTGATATGAGCGTAGATCTGGTGGGAAAACGACTCAACGTGAATGCGAATATTGGTATTTTTATCACAATGAACCCAGGATACTCTGGAAGATCGAATTTACCCGATAACTTGAAACAGGTGGTTTTTCAAAGATATATTTCAATCACATTTCCTGCTCGTATTTGTGGATACGGCTCCGGGCGTGTGCGGCGCAGTGGTCGGAGGCGCCATGCGACACACGCAGCACCGATCCTCGTGCCCATGGCTCACCAAGCCTTTCATCTCTCCGGGGTCGGCAAATTCGTACCAGACCTGTCTGGGATGATAGCAGCACAGGGGCGATACACCGGTAGGCCACCGCGAATCATTGTAAAGGTCAGACCTGCATCTTCTTCTGTCTTCTCCAACGATGATTAATGAAGTCGAATGCATGGCACATCACTCAGGGATTGATCAGCGCCCAAAACTTTATCCTTTACTTGTTGATTTGTATTTTTAATGTTTTGTTTAGTTGTTTCGAAGTTTGGCTATGACACAACCTGACCGGCAGCTCATTGCACAAGTTATGTTGTTCTCACAGGGTTTCCGTACGGCAGAAACACTTGCAAACAAAATTGTACCCTTGTTTATGTAGGTTTTCTATTGTCTTAATCTTTCTATTTACTGCCAATTGTTTTTAACGGCAGGGTATGTTGCGAAATATAACTTCTGTAATGCTGAAATATTTATATATATTTTTATATATTTGCAAAACTCCTGACCGCAGGTGTCTGCAGTGGGGAACGAACGCGCTATTGTCCTTCGCGGGGAGTAACGTGTTCACCACCACACCATGCTCCTGCGAGAGACAGGCGAAACGAAGGACCCACATGGTGTGGTAGTGAACGCGTTACTCCCCGGAAAGCACAATAGCGCGTTCGTTCCCCACCGCAGACACCTGCGGTCTGGAGTTTTGCAAATATCTCAGTATTACAGAAGTTTTCTGTTTTGTTTAAAATCATATTTGGCATTAATTTAGAAATTTTTTCATATGGTATATTGTAGTCAACTTATTTTTGTTGTTCCCGAACATTGAGGGTTTCATGTTTGCTTTGCTGTTTATTTTATAGCCTATGCAAAGAACAACTTTCGGCTCAGTGTCACTATGATTTCGGTCTCCGTGCTTTGAAATACGTCTTGGTATCAGCGGGAAATGTTAAGCGAGAAAAACTTGCGAAAGTTGGAGCTGCTGCATTGGAGGATGTTGCTGAGCAGCAGGTAGGTCTTTCTCTCTGGTGCAGATTTAATTGTATGCAAGGGAAATTTTCTGGATTCAGTGTTAAGAATTGAATTTACTGTGAATTTCCTATTGCTTCATATATTCTATAAATGGGTTTTTTTTTCAAGATGCTTATTCAATCTGTCTGTGAGACTCTGGTCCCCAAACTTGTAAGCGAGGATATTGCTCTACTCTTTTCGTTACTATCCGATGTTTTCCCTTCGGTGCATTATACACCTAATGAAATGATAGAGTGAGTAGTGTCTTTGTTATTGTTGTTATTCTAGCACTGATTAATAGATTCTAGTCAATCTCTGGTCCCTTCTTTTGCGTGAATTCTTTTTCTTTTCCAGATTGCGACAACACATTGCTCAAGTGTGTGACCAACTTATGCTATGTCACGCGGACGTAACCGGAGAATTAGGAGCAGCATGGGTTGACAAAGTGCTTCAACTTTACCAGATCACCAATTTAAACCATGGTCTAATGCTTGTTGGTGCAAGTGGCAGTGGAAAAACCACAGCTTGGAAAGTTTTGATGAAGGCACTTGAACGCTATGAAAAGGTGGAAGGTGTTGCACATGTCATCGATGCGAAAGCGATGAGTAAGGATGCACTGTATGGAGTACTGGATCCGAACACTAGGGAATGGACTGATGGATTGTTCACTTCCATTATCCGAAGGTAAGTGATTTTTTCTTCCATCTTATTAGGCACTAGTATATATTAGTATAAGGGTGCGTGTAGCGCAGTGCCACCTTTATTTTCCCACCTTATCTACGACTGTTTGGCGTACAAAACGGCATCTTGATCATTAACGCAGGTCGAAGTTTCGGATCCCATCCCTTACTTGTGTGCAGTGGTATACTCCTAGCATCGTCCTTTCGACTGCGCGTTCGATAACGCTGAGTGACCTTTCATCCTGCTTACGCAGCGACCAGGTTTGTGACGCATGTGTTAGGGCAAGAAGTACTGTCGTGTCGAAAAGGTGGGCACGGAGACGGGCGTTTTTTGTTCTCTTCACTACATCTTCGATGTTCTTGAAAGCTCCCCAAGCCGCTCGTTTTCTTCTGATCAGCTCTGGAGCTAGGTAGTTCATCACATTGATTTCCCGACCTAGATAGATATTACTGGAGCATTCTAAGATATTCGTTCCGTTGAGCGTGAATGGACACGCGAAACCAATCCGTTCTTCATGAACATCGTTTTTGTGAGATTTAGTCGAAGCCCAATCTTTCCACAGGTTTTATCAAAGTCGTCAAGCATACGTTCCGCTTGGCTAATGTTTGGTGTTATAACGACGATGTCATCAGCCAAGCGAAGGTGATGTAACTGTCGACCGTCGACTTTAACTCCCATATTATCCCATTCCAATGTTCGCATGTCGTTCTGGAGGGTGGCGGTAAATAATTTTGGCGAGATGGTATCGTCTTGCCTAACTCCTTTTTTGACGTCAGTGTTAATATCGTTGTAGAATGGTGATATCTTGGTTGTGAAATTTTTGTACAGCTCACGAAAAATCTTTATGTACTGAGTAGGGACTCCTTTACTATCAAGGGCTTCCAAGACTGCTTCTATCTCAACTTAAGCAAAGGCCTTCTGTAAATCAATAAAAGTGAGACAGAGAGGTTTTTTGTAGTCTCGCGATACTTCAGTGAGCCTTGTTGCCGTATGCAGTCCATCACACTAAATCCGTTTCAAAACCCTGCTTGCTCACATGGATGTCCTTCGCCCAGTGTTCTGCTAATCCTGTTTAGGATGAATCGAGTGAAAGTTTGTAGACAACAGGCAGCAAGCAGATTGGGTGATAGTTGCCGATATCGTGCAAGGCCACCCTTCTTCAACAATCACATGGTGCTGCTGGTTTTCCACTGAGCAGGACCTTGCATTTAGGCAGGTAACGTGTGAAGAGGCGAGTGTTTGCGAGGACTGGCGGAAAGTTCTTCAGGTGTTCTGATCTTATCCTGTACGGTCCTGGTGCTGCTCGTTTTTCACCGACGAAATGTTATGTAGAATTTCGGAAGGGAGAGCCGATGGTACAACATATCCATCCTCTATTTCATATGACGGAAGGTAGAGGTAGCTATCGAAGAGATCCGTGTAGTATTCGTGAATGACTTTCTCCATTACCTTTCTGGACGCTCTAACTGTTCCGTCTGGATGCCGGACAGCAATCACTTTGGTCTTTTAATTGGCGAAGCTTCGGTGAGTTTTGCGAATGCTTTTCCCAGCCTCTGCAGCTTCGACCATTACTGCTGCTCTTCTCTCTTTAAGATCTTCCTTTATCGCCTATATGTATTGTTCGAAAGTTAGTTCGCGGTTGCCTGCAGCTCGCGCAAATCCACGCTGGCGCATCAGCTCGAGAGCTTCTTGAGAGAGATGTCTCTTGGTGACTTTCAAACTCTTAGCTTTCATAGCGCTAGCTTGATGATGTTGAGTGAGCCGATCGTATTCTTCGTCGATGTTATCAACAACGGCGTCTTCCCAACAGCTGACTAATGAATTGAATAAGTCCCAGTTTGCAGTGGTTCTGGGGATTCGGTTTTGGAATTTAGCGGCTTCTTCTCCTTTCCGAGAAATAGAATCTTGCACGAAGGATGCGATGGTTTGATCCCGAGTAGAATTGTGGGACAACAGTGACATCGGTTAGGCAAAACCTTCTATTTACTATGATGTGGTTTGTTTCGTTATGGTACTCTCCGTTGGGACACTCCCACTTCCAGCGTTGAGGGTGGGGCTTCTGGAATTGCGAGTTACCATGGATTGTCTTTGTCGTCATGATAGACACAGAGAGCCGTTCACACTGCTCGTTCTATTCTAATCCGTGGGTTACAATATGACGTTCTTCAGACGTTCCTCTTGGTCCAGTCCTGGCGTTGAAATCTCCAATGATGACCTTGAAGAATGTATGGTCTTCTCTGTAGAACATCTCCAAGTCCATATTGAACGCTTCGACTTGGCGCGTAAACGACGAAGATTATCAAAGCCGGAATTGATGCATATCTTTCAATGGTAAACGTCCGATTGGGGTGTAAGTTGTTCGAATGAACCGATGTTCATGGACAAACTGGTGTTGACGAGAGCGCCGATACTGCCGACTCCTCTACTGTCGCATGTTGCGAGGAACAGTTCTTGTCCAGTGTCATGGACGACGTTGAAAAGCTGGCGTCTTCTCATCTCGGCCAGGCCGATGACGTCGTACTTTGTCCTTCTTGCTTGCATGAGCAAATCTTCTACCGGGTACTCGGATGCAAGTGTACGTGCATTGTAGGTACAGATCGTCACCATGTTTCTTTGAAATCCAGGCAGCTTTCATTGGCCCTGAGATTTTAGCAGCCTCTCCGTACTCGTCCTACCCAGCTTGGGGGCTCTTTCGGGGTCAGGGGAATGAGGCCCGTTTTTTTTTTTTTTACTGTTTTTAAGATTTTTGATACGCACGTATAGCTTGCTGTGATTTGAAAGTGGAGGTTGAGTATACTCACGGGTAGTTTGCCGGGCTCTGCCAGAGTGGTCATGGAGCTTATTTGTTGGAGGCGAGTCCTAACCGCCTCCCATATACTCCCCAGTCACTTGATTGCAGGCTTTTGGCCGAATTGACTCGTAGAATACAATCCGCATAAACTAGAACGCACCCATACACGCATGCATGAATACACCTCGCAAATACAGATAGTATGTGCCAAATCGGTGCAGCAGAAGCAGGGAGTCCATCTCCTGGATTCACCTGCGTCTCAGGGAAGCAAAGGTCGTCTTTGGTCAGCAACTAACCCCCTATCCGCCACCTGGGGACGCGCCACATAGCATCGCGGTTAACCGGCTGGAGATCCCTCATATGAGGGAGATCCGTGGGTAGTGGCTAGAGGCTATCCCAGCAGCGAGTAATCCTGCGGTTCATCCCACCACAGCCGTAGTGCTTTATAACACTTTAATTACGATCATTCTCTGTTTTTGTCTTGTACGCCGTTCTGCAAACTTACGTTAGGTTCTTTTTAAAGGTTTTAAAATGAGTAGATTCAGGATAATTGATAATGTTCGCGGTGAACTTGAGAAGCGCCAGTGGATTATCTTTGACGGTGATGTTGATCCGGAGTGGGTAGAGAATTTAAATTCAGTACTTGATGATAATAAACTGCTCACATTACCAAATGGAGAACGTCTTGCTATTCCACCTAACGTAAGGCTTCATCTTTGTGTTTGAGTCAGGTGTTAGCGATTCCACTTCTGTTTTAAATTAATTTGTTCTAATGCACCTTCAATATAGGTGCGAATCATTTTCGAAGTTGCTGATCTGAAATACGCAACTCTTGCTACAGTTTCTCGTTGCGGGATGGTTTGGTTCAGCGGAGAGGTAACACGCAGTAGATGCTATTGACGAGCGCCTTTTCTCCAATGATCTATCATCAGGTTGTAACCACGGAAATGTTGTTCGAGCACTATCTTTCACGCTTGCGTAATATCTCTATTGAAAGCGATGCGTTAATTGCTGAAGATGCCGCTCCAGTAAGATCTGTTGTCATACAGAGGCAAGCTGCTGCTGCTCTTCAACCGAACTTTTCTCCAGGTTGAAGTTTTTCTTACATTTTATACAGTTCCTCTCATATAGCGCTGAAGGAAATTTTATCCCATTTTAGATAGTCTTGTACCGTTAGCACTCAATTTCGCTCTCACGAATCTTGTTCATATCATGGTTCCCACTCAACAACGTCTACTGTCATCATTTTTTGCTATGATGAACTATTCTGTTCGTTGCATCATTAATCATGACGCTAATCAGGGTGATTTTCCGTTATCGGTGAGTACTTGAACCCTTTTGTATTCTAATACCCACTTCGAAGAGTTATATAACCAGGAGGTGCTAGCGAAGATGTCGAAATCGTTACGTCTGAGCACTGCATTTACGGGTTCGGTTTGACACCAAAATGGCACTAGACTGAATCACAATGCGATTTGCGCCACTTGTTTTAAAGACTTTCTTGTTTACAGCCGGATCAGGTTGAGGCGTATTTGACGCGATCCATGCTTACCAATATGATTTGGGCGTTCAGTGGTGACGGGAAATGGAAATGTCGCCAACGTTTGAGCGACTTTATTCGTAGTTCAACAACTCTTTCATTACCTTCAAATCAACAGGTAAATACGTGCAGGTTCTTTCACTTATACTTTGATCTAGTTCTTTGTTTAGTAGGTGTTTGTAACCTATACTGTTCAAAATTTGGTTTTTTTTTCATATTTCCTTGGCACGGTTTGAAGTTTTCAGGGTCACGGTTTTCTAACCCTAATTGGAGTCGGCAGTCTTATAGACATTTTTGTAGTGAAGTTGCGTAGCTGTCTGTATAATAAAGAAAAAGCATGTTACTTGTTCAGGCTCCCTTGATAGACTTCCAAGTACAACTCAGTGGTGAATGGCAACCGTGGTTGAGCCGTGTTCCAGTCATGGAAATCGAATGTATGTTTCGCGCTACCCTTATCCATTTTACCTGAAATTTAAAATCTGTGTTGCTGAAATGATTCTGCTACAGCTCATCGTGTCGCTGCACCTGACCTTGTTGTGCCGACTATCGATACTGTTCGCCATGAAATGTTGCTGTCTGCTTGGCTATCGGAACATAAACCTCTTGTGCTGTGTGGGCCCCCAGGTTCTGGGAAGGTGATTTTTCAGTGATGTTTTTTTGTATCCTTATAAATTTCTATAGCATACGTCACTTTTTGTAGACGATGACATTGCTTGCCGCATTGCGTTCCCAACAAGATATGGATGTGGTGAATGTGAATTTCTCGTCATCAACAACACCCGAACTTTTGATGAAAACATTTGATCACTATTGTGAATACCGACGTACGCCAAATGGTATTGTATTGGCTCCAGTTCAACTTAGCCGGTGGTTGGTCATTTTCTGTGACGAGATCAACTTGCCCGCCCCAGACAAATACGGCACTCAACGTGTGATTTGCTTCCTTCGTCAACTTGTAGAAATGGTGCGCTGAATCTTATTTTGTATTGTTTCAGGAAATTGTTAAACGGTGTGTTTATTTATCGTGCCTCTGTTGTAGAATGGCTTTTACCGCAATTCTGATCATTTATGGGTGACACTAGAACGAATTCAATTTGTCGGTGCCTGCAATCCTCCTACTGACCCTGGTCGTCACCCTATGACATTGCGTTTCCTGCGTCATGTTCCAGTCGTTTACGTCGACTATCCGGGTAAAACGTCGCTTATACAGATTTACGGGACATTTAACAGGTAGAGGTTGACATTCTCTCTTGAGGTGTTTTAAACCGCTCTGCAGTACAACATCCTGTATCATTTTTATATTTTGGAATTGCGTAGTTTAGTTGCGTGGATATCTAATTTTATGATGTCCATTCCTTTCTAGAGCTATGCTTAAAACAGCGCCTACAGTTCGTGGACTTGCTGATCCACTCACTAATGCTATGGTCGATGTCTATTTGGCCAGTCAAGTAGGCATAAAACTTATGATGTTTACTAGCAGGCCGCATTCTCTTGAATAAGGACGGACCGCTTTAGGAACATTTCACTCAAGATGACCAACCGCACTACGTATATTCACCTCGAGAGTTAACTCGTTGGGTTCGTGGAATAGCAGAAGCGATTGCTCCCATCGATGGAATCACCGCTGAACAGCTCGTCCGTTTATGGGCTCATGAAGCAGTGCGGTTATTCCAAGACCGACTGGTCACGGATGCTGAACGTGACTGGACGGACGAGCTTGTTGATTCGACTGCTGAAAAGTCGGTTTTGGGCAATTGTTTACACTCACCTTGAAATTTTGAGGTCACTTTATGGTCTTTTAAACTTATTAACCTTAAGAGTCTAAGATTTATCTATTCACTTATTTACATCTTTCAGTTGAAGGGCTCGATTTAATTTATATCTTTACCTTCTTCTTAAATTCTCATTTATTAACAACATTACCTCTATTTCACCGGTTTTAAGAGGGTTTTTTCTCACATTATTACATTTAGGTATTTTGGATGTTCCTGCAATGTGAAAGAAGCTTTGCGTCGACCACTGTTATATTCATGTTGGCTATCAAAACATTACGTACCTGTCACAAGGGATGAGCTCAAAGACTATGTATCCGCAAGGCTCAAAGTATTTTCATCCTTCCTTAGTTCTACAGTCTTGGAGAAATCAGTAAGAGTGGTTTTTATCTTTGTTAATTTAGGGGTTCTATGAAGAAGAACTTGACGTGCAGTTGGTTCTATTCGATCAAATGCTTGACCATGTGCTGCGTATTGACAGAATATATCGTCAACCTCAAGGACATCTTTTGCTTATTGGTACAGCTGGAGCTGGAAAGACAACGCTTTCTAGATTCGTAGCATGGCTAAATGGACTGAGTGTATTTCAGGTGCTTCTTTTTTTTGCTTTTATCTTTTTGAGGGTTCTTGTAGTAATCGCTGTACATGAGTGTGGAACTGTTGCAGCTCAAAGTTCATTCGAAGTACACAGCTGCGGATTTCGACGAGGATATGCGTTCAGTTTTACGTCGTGCTGGTTGCCGGAACGAGAAAATGTGTTTCATCATGGATGAATCGAACATGTTGGATACTGGATTTCTTGAAAGGCTAAACACGCTTTTGGCCAATGGAGAAGTGATTTCTTTTCCTTTTCTTTGATTACTTCAGAAGGTTTTCCCATATTAAGAAGTTGTTATTACTTACTCTATGTCGGCTGCTAAATTAGTACATTCTAAAAGCAATGTTGTTAGTCTGCTGTTCTTATTTGTTCTTCCTTTTCTTCCCTTTTGATAATTAGATAAATATTTTTTTCCTCTTTAGGTACCTGGTTTATTCGAGGGTGATGAACATACGACTCTCATGACGCAAATCAAGGAAGGAGCCCAACGTCAAGGATTGATGCTTGATAGTCATGATGAGCTGTACAAATGGTTCACTTTGCAGGTGACTTCACTGTATTCTACTCAGCTATATCTTAATGTTTATTAAACTGGTTGACCGAATGATTAATGCGATATCTCAGGTAATGAGAAATCTACACGTGGTGTTCACGATGAACCCGTCTGGTAGTGGTCTTCGCGAACGCGCTTCTACCTCACCGGCTCTGTTTAATCGTTGCGTACTGAACTGGTTTGGTGACTGGGCCGACACTGCGCTCTACCAGGTAAAGCATATAGGCTTCCTCTTAACCGCTGTAGGACTGTGAACTCTTCAAAATTTCCGCTGTGAGCTTCGAAGTGGTAAGATGTGTGAGATGAGATGAAGATGAAGGACTGAAACAAAGGCGGAACAGTAAAATTCAGGTGATATGCAAACTTCATAGAAATTCTAGTTGGTCTTTTTAAGGTTGCATCAGAGCTTACGACGACTATTGATATGGACCGTAACGACTACGAGCCGCCTTTCGCGCTGCTGAAAGTGTGTGACCTCATACCTAGCCCACCTACTTATCGTCATGCTGTCATTAACACACTAGTGCATGTTCATAAGTCCGTCCAAAAGCTTAATGAACAGGTGAGATTTTGCAGGATTTCTGTATTAACGCACTCTCTACCGTATACTTTCTCTCTAATGCCTTTAACTTTCTTCTATTTCTCTTGTCGGACTAAGCACTTCTGCAAAGTTGAATCGAAACTGGTTTCTGAATTGCTTTTTTTTCTCTTTTAATTTCTTCTAGTGGACTGATCTAGTACACCAAACCATGACTGTATTAAAAGATACAAAAGAAATATCGATTTGAGTAAAATCTCAGAAATGGAGTGAAATCTGAGTTACTGCATGATAAATGAAGTGGAGCACATGGTGATGAAAATTGTACTGACGTTAGAAAAGCCTTAGGGACTTCCATTTTGGAAAATGGTATATTTTTTGCTCAGGAACCTGATAATTTAATATTTTTTCTACAACTTTTTTAAGGCAGTTTTGTTTTCTTTTGTCCTGGATTTAGAACTTCTCGAGCTATGAATTAGCGTTTTTTTCAAAGTAGCAATTTTTCTAAGGTATTTCGAAAAATCATAGTTTATTTTGATGTCTACATTTCTCCACTTTCAATTTTATCTTTTCGACCATTTTCTTAAATTTTAATACTTATACCCTAATGTTTGAATGCCTTCAATTTCCAGGAGCAAAAGCGTGGCCACAAAGTCATGGTAGTGACGCCTCGTCATTTTCTTGACCTGATCAGGCACTTTACAAATCTGTTTTACGAAAAACGACGGGAGCTAGAAGAGGAGAAGGTTTAGAAACCAATTAGAGAAATAAATTAGATGAAGATATCTTAATTTAGCAACAGCATTGCAGGTCCACTTAAATATTGGTCTGAACAAGATTCGTGAAACTGAAGAACAAGTGAAGGAGCTACAGAAGAGCCTTACGCTGAAGAGTCGTGAACTAGAAGAGAAGAAAACGGCAGCTAATTTAAAATTGAAAGAAATGTTAGCGGACCAGCAAAAGGTGCAGTATTCAAACTTTGCATTACTGTTTATCTATTTTCCCATGGTCTCTTTAGTATATTTTTTCTTATGTAATTTTATAGTTTTTTTTTGAAGTATAGGTGCAATTCTAGGCCGAAGATGAAAAACGTCATTCCGAACAGCTCCAGAAGGAACTAGCAGAACAATTAACTCAGATAGCAGCAAAGAAAACAGAAGTGCAAAAGGACCTCAGCCAGGTGGGTGTATTGCTTGTTGGATCTATTTTTAAAGACATAGCTGTAATTTTTTAAGGAATAAAGGAAAAAATTAAGTTCGGTATCGATTCGTGCTCCGTAGAACACTTCCCTTGATGGGTGATTGCTAATAACACCGTTATCGTAAAAACTGGCTAGTTGAGAGGTAATCAAACCAAGGGCATTGGATGGTAGAGTGGATAACACATTAGTTCACGAAAAATGTAATCGCGGATTCAAAGAGCACATGACATCCCCAGTTTTACTCATATATGAACATCTTTGTGGTTGTAGCTACAATTATTTTTGAGTAGAATATTTTAAGGTCGAGCCTGCTGTCGAAGAAGCTCAACAGGCTGTGAAAGGTATAAGAAAGAACCAGCTTGTAGAAGTAAGATCAATGGCGAGCCCACCTGTGATGGTGAAATTAGCACTGGAAGCTATCTGTATTTTACTGGGGGAGAACGTCGGCACCGATTGGAAGGTAGGTAGTTTCTAAAGTATTTTTATTTACTACACAAGGACTTGCATTCAATTTTATCCTCCGAGCAAAACGTGTGCATGTTTTCAAAGAAGAATTTTTAAATTTAAAACGTGAAGGGATGAAAATATTAGAACTGGAGATGTTTTCACAAAACTTTGATTTCTCATGTATCTTATGCACAGGCAATTCGAGGAGTTATGGTGAAGGACGATTTTATGCCGCGAATTCTTGCATTTGATACCGATAGTATTACAAGTGATATCTTGAAACAAATGGAGAAATATGTGAATAACCCTGATTGGGACTTCGATAAGGTGCAGTTTATAGTTATGCTTCCATTGTAGTGTTATAGGGATCGTTTTATGCTTAGGTCAATCGTGCTTCGCAAGCGTGCGGTCCTATGGTCAAATGGGCGAAAGCTCAGCTGCTGTACTCTGGCATGTTGCACAAAGTGAGAATTCTGTTTTTATCCATTGCCGCCAACTCATAGACGACTTATCTATGTTGGAGCACTATTTCCGCCGTGTCTTGTATATTAGCCTCAGCTTGCGCACAGCGAACTCTACTACCCCATATAAACTTAGATGTCGTTAGCAATAGTGCAGTGTTAATCTTAGCACAATTTTTGTGGTTTGTACTGTTAGTTCAGCTTTAACCTCTTATTATTGCAATTTCCTAGGTGGAACCCCTTCGCAATGAACTGAAGCGATTAGAATCTGATGCTCAGAGAAAAACTACCGAAGGAAACGAAGTGAAAGCACGTATTGCACAATTAGAACAGTCTATTGCTGCATATAAAGAAGAATATGCGCAATTAATTGGACAGGCTGAAAGCATTAAAATGGACTTGGCTACCGTCCAAGAGAAGGTATTGTGCCGTTCTTTTCGCCGTGGTTTATTCTTTTCAGCTATTCACAAGAAGGTTGACTGACCACATATGTAGCTTTATGGTGTTATTCGTTTAGGTTGGGCGCTCTACGGAGCTTCTGTCTTCGTTGCGTTCGGAGCGTGACCGATGGTCAGGCGGATGCGACGGGTTTACGCAACAGATGGACACTTTAGTCGGGGACGCGCTCCTCTCTGGAGCATTCCTGGCTTATGCGGGCTATTTTGATCAGCAGGTGTGTTACTTATGTGACATCTGAAAAGAGGGATGCTAAGTGTGTGTCTGTTTATTTATGATGAAGTTCAAACCATTTTGAATTGCTCATCCATTTCCAGCTTCGCGATGTTCTTTTCCACCGATGGTTTGAGTACTTGCAAGGAGCAGCGGTCAAGATGCGCTCAGATTTGGCAAGAATAGAGTATCTTAGTACCGTAGATGATCGTCTTCAGTGGCAGAGAAATGCACTACCGGTTAGTATGTGATGGGTTTGTCCAAAGTCATTGTTGTCGTTTACGAGTTCTCCTTTTAAAGGTTGATGATTTGTGCACGGAAAACGCTATAATGCTACATCGTTTCAATCGTTATCCTCTGATCATTGATCCTTCCGGTCAAGCCTCCGAATACATTATGCAACAGTTTGCAGCAAGAAATATTCAGAAGACAAGTTTCTTGGATGATTCATTCAGGTTGTCTATTGTCCTTCATGCTATATAATGCAAGGTGCGAGGAATTATTGAAGCAAGTCTTACTTTAGGAAGAACCTGGAGTCCGCATTGCGATTCGGAAATTCGCTGTTGGTACAAGATGTAGAAAGCTACGATCCCATCTTAAATCCAGTGCTGAATAGGGAGGTATGTGCATATTTGATTCCATAAATCTGTTTTAATCCTTTTCTTGTGACACCTGAATCTTGTTTTGGGGGGATGATAAGACCTACTGTCTTTTAGGTGAAGCGGACTGGTGGACGTGTACTTATTACAATCGGAGACCAAGACATCGATTTGTCACCTGCATTCCAAATATTCCTCATTACCAGAGATGCGTCGGTAGGTCACACATATCCTATATGAAATGGTAGCAGATTTGTTCTCAACACATGCGTTGTGTTACCACAAACTGCGCGTATGGTGGGAGACGCCCTGTAGTACACATGGGATCGATGTCCACGCCCCAGGCTCTCCTAGCCCCCATCCGGGGTCTGCAAATTGGTACCAGAGTTGCCTGGGAGGATAGCAACGCTAGCTCGATACATCGGTAGGCCACCGCGAGTTATTGGAAAGGCCAGATATGCATTCAATCATCTCCAGCTATGTCTAATGAAGTCGAATGCATTGCGCATTCTTCACGAATAGATCAACTCCGAGAGCTTCTTTATTATTTTGTGATGATAAAGGAGCTACATCTTTCAACACCACGAAATTAGTGCTCAGCTCTAACTTAGCGTACACTTGAGACAGTAGAGTATAGGGTTAGTAATAAAATCCGGCTAGGTACATGATATTCAGGTTGAGTTTACACCTGATGTGTGCTCGCGCGTAACATTTGTCAACTTCACAGTAACGTCATCAAGTCTTGCAAGCCAGTGTCTCAATCAGGTGCTTCGAAGTGAAAGGCCGGATGTTGACAAGAAACGAAATGATTTGTTGAAACTACAGGTTTGGTTTTCCTAGCAACTTAGAAAAGTTGGTGGAGGATCGTCATTTGAGATTTTCTATCCTTTAGGGTGAATTTGCCGTGCGTCTTCGTCAACTAGAAAAGGCATTGCTGGCAGCGTTAAATGAAAGCAAGGGTAAAATCCTAGACGATAATTCGGTGATCGGTACTCTTGAGAAGTTGAAGAACGAAGCATCGGAAATTGCGAAAAAAGCTGCAGAGACCGATAAGGTCATGGCCGAGGTGTGATTGAGTTCTACAATTTAATGCAATTCTCAAGGTTCAGAGTTTATCAGCATTATCGTTTTAGCTAGCTAGTAAATTATGCATGATTGTAACAGTTAATTGAAATATGGTGTTGTATTTGCTGTCCTAACCCAGGTTGAAACTGTCTCCACCCAGTATCAGCGTTTGGCTGCAGCCTGCTCACAGATTTTCCATACGTTACAGCAACTTAACGAGGTCGGTTTGGTTTAGCATAACTCATCTGCTTTATAGGCCACTTAAATTTAATACGAGCTTTTTATGATGGAGTAATAATGAGATATTTCGAAGGCGTAAAAGTGCTACAAAAATTTTTTCATTGTGGAAGTGGTTTTATAAAGCTTGGAGGTATTTGGTATTCCCTCGTTCTAATTTGTATTACTTGATAGTTGAGAAGCACAATATTTTGTACGTTTGTTCAGGTGCACTTTTTGTACCATTACTCCCTCGACTTTTTACTTGACATCTTCACCTGCGTCCTGAAATCTCCCGAACTGAGCCAAACCCAAGACCACGTCCAACGGCTGAATATAATCACAGCAAATTTGTTCCAGGTACGATATTTGTTCGTGTAAATCAGAGACAGAGATTTACTTAGGACACATTGTATTGAATTTTTTGAGTTTTACCTTCATGGAGATTTAGGTTAGTATCAATATTTATCGTAGGCAGAAAAGAAGCTGCTAAATGGGGAACTTTTTTGCCAATGATTAACTATTGTGAGGTGAAAGTATTCTGAATTGTAGATCCATATTGATGTAATGAAAGAAAATATCAGTTAGTTATTTCGTCAACACTACTGTTTTGTCATAATGTTTACCTTGGTTTGTCAGTTCTGAGTAGCCTGAGCTTTTCATCCTGTCTATACATTGCCTTTTGTAAGGGAACACAATTTCCAGACTGTGTATCGTCGAGTATCGCGCGGTATGTTACATGCTGACAAAGTTTTGTTGGCATTGTTGCTGATGAGGATCTCTCTACGATCGGTTGGCAACGAGCCGTCCTACGATCCACAATGGGATCTGTTGCTTGGTCGTAGCGAATTGTTATCACCAAAGACTTCTCATCAATCCTCACCCACTGCGTTACCATTTATTACCTCGCAGCAGATGGGGGCGCTGAGCAGGGCTCAGAAATTACCCGGATTTGAAAATGTGCGTTTGTCTACGTTTTCACAGTTAACATTATTAACCTGCATCTACTTGTCTTTTCTATTTGACAGATTATTGACATTATGTGTGGACAGTCTTCGCAAGTTAAACAATGGATGGCACAGGACAATCCTGAAGCTGCGGTGCCAATATTGTGGGAGGACCCAGAGCAGAAACTAAGTTTGTTTGCAGCGCTTTCACTAGTCACAGTAATTTATAATTATATTTCTTGTATTTGTCAGAACTAATCCTAACGCTAAGAATAGTAACCATAATGATGCTGAGACATTTGCAAAACTCAGGACCACTGTTCCTACGGTGAGGAACGAACGCGATATTACCCTTTCCGGGGGTAACGCATTCACCACCATACCATACGAGTCCTTCGTTTCGCCTTTCTCTAAGCCATGTTAAGAATAGTCTATGAATAGTCTAAATGAATTTTTATATGAGATCTGACCAGTAATGCTAGTTTCAAGTTTCTTTGCATATTTGGCACACAAAGGCCAGTATTTATGAGGATATCCTAGGTTATCAAAACGACCAAAAACAGGGACACTTTTCCGGCCATTTGCATTGCGGTTTTGCATAGTCACAGATATTGGTTATTTTTACTAGAATAGATGTACAGCTTGCTTTGGATGGTCTCAATCCGCTTGTCACTTATCATTCACTTTACTTCTCTTCGTAAATTCGACATGCAGGATACAACACTGTCGCTTGCAAGCATATCCGCCCACCTAGGCTTGTGTATGTGTACGTTCATATAGAAGGTAGAAGTCATTCCGGCGCTGTAGGAAAGGCAAGCCCAACTTGCGGGCTCACTTACTTCGCAGAGTAGTTACATCGGTTTTGTTTGCTCTACTTTTAGTCCGTTAATCGCCACTTAGTGTGGCCAATGTGGCTTAACCACGCACCGGTTCGATATTCCTCCTATGGGGAAGATTCATGGGCAGTATTAACAATTTTCATAATTGATTTTTTAAATTCCAATAACATTTTTTCTCAGTATGAACGAAAATTCGGTTTGCAATTTCCAGCGCCAATTGGAGTGGCAATGAATCAATTGATTGTGGTCCATTGCTTGCGTTCCGATCGCCTCTTGGCTAGTGCACATCGTCTAGTGTCCGCTGCGTTTGGAGAAGGTTTTATGCAACAAGATAAAGTCATAGATCTTCACGACATCATTGATAATGAAGTGAATATTTTCTTTTCTTTTGACACTAATTGCTTTGCTATCGAAATTTTCCGTTGTTTCGTTTTTTTCCTGAGATAATTTGATTGTCAATACAGTGGTTTAGGTGTCCTCGTCAGATCCTGTTTTGTTATGCTCTGCAACGGGTTACGATGCATCCGGAAAGATTGAAGATCTAGGAATTCAAACTGGCCGTCCAGTTACTTCGATCGCTATTGGTTCCTCAGAAGGATTTAGTCAGGCGGATACGGTGAGTTTTTCTTTCACTTAAGTGTTTGAATTCAAGTAGAAGTTTCTAGTCGTCTGGTAGTTTGGTCCACTTTTATTTTGCTTTTTTCAGAAGTTTTAGTGTAATTTTCTTTGTGATTCTTCAGTGAAATATCTACAAAAATCTGTTTGTTAGAGGCGAATCTGCGTAGACGCGCTAGTCGACATTTTTGCTTCGGTTAAATATCTGAAAATTTATGTTCATTGACGTGAAAGATGCAAGCTTATTTATGTCTTTACCTGCTGAGATTCAACTTGTCACGCAGGCTTCAGCTCTGTTCTATTCCATTTGTTATCTTTCAAATCTCTTGCCTGGAAATTTTTGTCGGTATGATTGTCGGTATTATCATTTCACAGCACACGACGAAAAAATAAACCATCATCACTGCAAAGTGCAAAATAGGAGCGTATTACTGGTCAAACAAACATTTATGTAGTCCTTCATCGTTCTACGGAATCGCTTCTGGAATATTTTGGTGTAAAAAGTAGATATAGTCATTAATGACTTTACAACCGAATATTACTAAGGTATTTATTAGAACACTAAAATATATTTTTCCCTTCGAATGTTAATTGTGACTAACAAAGGTTTGTATCATTGAGTGTAATGGTACTCGAAAATGTTCGGAAATATCGTGCAGATAAAAGCGCTGACCTGATTCATCGCAAGACCACCGTAAGTCATTCTTTAGGTCAGATATGCATTCACCCAACTCTGCTAAGCTCATTGGTGTTGAATACATGGCGTTTAGTTATCTTTGACATTTAGTTATAGTGGATGACGAGGCTAACACAGAAGGCGTTATCGTTTTCGTATTTTATGTTACATGCAAAGTGGATATTTAATTTCTGCACGTGAATTTGTGCTTAAACGTGACCATTTCTAAAATTATAGAAATTAGGTATCCATGTATTCGTAAGCAAAAGCAGTTTTCATTTCAGGCCCTGACTGCTGCTTCGAAATCTGGCCGTTGGGTTCTGCTTAAAAACGTGCACCTTGCTCCTCAATGGCTTGGAAATATGGAAAAACGTTTGCACACGCTGAAACCGCATGCCAATTTCCGTCTATTCTTGACTGCTGAGATTCATCCAAAGCTGCCGACATCAGTTCTCAGAGCATCCCGTCTGGTTGTGTTTGAACCAGCCACAGGACTAAAAGCCAATCTTCTCCGGTCACTTTCCGCATTGTCGGCGACTCGTTTGTCGAAACCTCCTGCCGAGCGCAGTAGACTTTATCTGCTAGTATGCTGGCTCCATGCATTGGTCCAAGAAAGGCTCAGGTAGTTCATCCGTTATATTACTGATATTATCATGTTCATTCATATTTGCAGATCCAAATCCAGGAGAAAATTTTTGTGCTCTTGTCAATCGAATGTTAAAGTAATAGAGAAATGTATCAGATAGTTAAACTGTTTTAACTGTTCCCTGGAAAGGACAATGGCGCCTTCGTTCCCCACCGCATAAACCTGCGGTTCGGAGTTTTGCAAATGTCTCAGCATCATTGAAGTTATATTTCGCAATGTATACCCTGCTGTTAAAAAGAGTAGGCAGTAAATAATAAATTGAAATTGTGATTATAACTACAGTCTCAGCTTAACTGGTTTCGTTGACGACTCGGGTCCCTCAGATTAATCCCGCTGACGGGTGATTTCTGATGGCAAAAGATCGATAGAACCAGCTGAGAGACAGACGAAACGAAGGACCCGCATGGTGTGGTGGTGAATGGGTTACTCCCCGGAAAGGGCGATAACGCGTTCGTTCCTCACCGCAGACAGTTGCGGTCTGAAGTTTTGCAAGTATCTCAGCATCATTGAAACTGATTTAAGTTAATTGCAGTTTTCTTTGAAGGTACACTCCTTTGGGTTGGGCAAATGCATACGAGTTTTCCGATGCCGACTTACGAGTCGCATGTGATACTCTGGACGCTGCAGTAGATGCTGTTGCCCAAGGTCGAGCCAATGTGGCACCAGAGAAGCTGCCGTGGACCACACTTCGGACACTGCTGAGTCAATGCATATACGGAGGAAAAATTGATAATCAGTTTGATCAGGTTCATTTACAACTTCTGACTCAACCATGGTTTTCTTATCGCAGTTTTATCTATCCGACGAAATGGACTATGACAGTGATAAGGTAGCTCTAGAAAGTTGTGGTTATAGTTTTGTATCCTTTAAAGTTTTGTTAGTAGTTATCATTTATCGTTCAGGTTCTACTCGATTGCATTTTGGAGCGATTGTTTACGGCGAAAAGCTTCGAACCTGATCACGTGCTTGTTAGTAAGTTCGATGGTGATTCGCCATTATGTACACCTGATGCCACACAACGTGACCAACTTCTCGCATGGATAGAAGGAATTAAGAGTCAGCAGGTAATAAATTATCTTGTTCCTTTATTTACTATTTGCCAGTTAGTGCTAGAGATGCACATAGTATTCAGCAAAGTTGGTATAGTGGTACTTAATGCGAACCATCTTATCAATATTTAAGTTCAGCCCTTAGAAGTCCCTGTAAAGTATTTAAACATGGAGTGTATAGTAGTGTAATAAATCACCTTTTTTTGAAACTAAAATTTTCATCTTCCATCTCTATTTCGCAACGGTTTACCGCCTCATCTTGGTTGCGTGCTTTATCGGGGGCTGAGATCTACAGCGGGGATTCGTCCCACCGGCAAGGTCCTCTAAGCCAAGAAGGGGTTCGGCATTTCCATTAGGAAGGCCAACTGAGGGTGAACCAGTACCAGGATACACCATCGTCTTGGTATCAAACTAGTCGCATTATGGGTAATCGCCCTCTGATCAAAAACTATGGCGACTGCTCGTGGTGGTGGTGACGTGGGGCAGATTTCGCTTAGGCCGACCTCGGGACTACAGAGAACCACAGTAGCTAAACCATCAAAATCAAAACTACGAAGAAATGGAAATAGTGCTGGAGCCCGTACAACGAGCGAGAACAGGTCATCCAAGTATCCAAGTGAAAATTTTTGTCTTTCATTTTCTTTAAGTTTCTTATTATATGCATTACCACTAGAAAACTATTCGTTTAGCTGCCAGCCTGGCTTGGTCTTTCGAACAACGCAGAGAAGGTGCTACTGACTCTGAGAGGTTTGAATAATTGCATGATTGTGTTTATGTAACCACCTAGTACCAAGATAATATTTCATTGCCTTTTATTTTAGCCAGTACATAGTGTGTTGTGAATTGCTAACGAACATCGGAAATTCGCATCTTTGATTTGTACAAATGGCGTGTGATTTCGTTGTAAAATTTGGCCCAGCACTTCATCATGGTGCACCAATGATTGTTGGGTCTAAAATATCTCAAAAACTTTGAGCAGAAATTTTAGTTTCGTATGAAAATTTATGTAAAATCAAAGTTGGCAACCACTTTTTATGTGCTGTCTGTAACACATAAAAAGTGGTTGCCAACTTTGATTCTACATAAATTTTCATACGAAACTAAAATTGGTTTTTTTTTTCAGGGTATCATGTGCACTACAACGACAATGATACTGAGATATTTGCAAAAGTCCGGACCGCAGCTGTCTGGCACGGAGATCGAACCTCACTATTACTCTTTCCGTGAGCTAACGTGTTCACCACCACACCACGCGTGTCCTTCATTTCGCCTTTCTCTCAGCCGTGTTATTGACCTATAGATGCTATCAGTAATTAACCATCAACAGGATTGATCTGGAGTGCAGAAATCGGCATTGAAGCCAGTTAAGCTGAAGCTGTGGCATAAATCAAAAAATAGTCACTTATTATTTAGAAAGAGGAAACGAAGGGTACGCATGGTGTGGTGATGAACACGTTAGCCCCCGCATAAGGCAATAGCGAGGTTCCATCCTCCCCGTATACACATGCGCTCCGGAGTTTTACAAATATCTCAGCATCGTAGTAGTTGTTTACCAAGGACTTTATCGCAATGACTTTTGTTTAGTATGTTAGTGTGGTAATCGGATAATATGAGCATTTTACCACTTGGCACTCCTTGCTCTTAGCACTGTCAGTGTCCTCTTTGAAAGAGGTTGGCTGAATAGTGGAAATGAAAACGTGGAGAGAAAAAATCTACTCATCATAGTTGGTTATTAAGCAGAGGTGGTCACAGATGCGAACTAGTTAATTTTTTGGAGTACTCAGGAAGAGTACTGGGATCGGGGAACTATTAGAGTACTCAGTTCAATTTTAATTTGAATAATCGGAAGCACCCGTTTTATTCGTGAAGCTACTTGAAGATAAAAGATTCTCATGTTTTGTATAATTCTTAGGATTACTTTATTTCTCATAAAATCCTTGTTCAGGAGAAACAATGTTGAAAAATCTTTTGAAAGTGTCCGACGATGAGTTGGCGTTCAGTGTTGATGGTGAAAAGGAGGCGAAGCCTCAGTGGATGGCTCAACTAGGGGAATTGGCACAACAGTGGTTGAAGCTGCTGCCAAAGGTACATTCGTAGATTTGAGTGAGAGCTTGCCTTTCGTTATTTTTGAGACATAGTTTGTGATAAAGTTCTCGAGCTTTTCGTTTATAGAATATTGTTCGAATGAAGCGCACTGTTGAGAACATCAAGGATCCTCTGTTCCGCTTCTTTGAGCGTGAAATTAATTTGGGAGCTGAACTACTTCGCGATTTCCGTCATGATTTGGAAGAGATTCTTGGCGTTTGTCGTGCCGAACGCAAACAAAGCAACGAAACGAGAGCGTTGGCATCCGCTCTACAGAAAGGAGTTGTAAGATTATTGGTTTTAGTTGGTACGATGAAATGCAAAAATAATGGTGGGATGTGGTTCATAGTGGGGAATTGAAAAGAACGCTAGTTTAGACGATCAACTGAATTCGTCATTTCCTGCCACGTTTTTGCTTTTGTTATCAGATAAACGAGACTGATTTCTTTCTATCGTTGCATTTATGATACGGGAAATCCAAAAAAATAAGCGGAAAAAAGTATGGTGGAACATCAATTTTTGTCTCTTACTTGATTGCTACGAGTCGCACTAATCCAAATTCTAACAGCGCTTTGAACCTATTAACCTCTGGCTTGCTGTCCTCCCAAGGGTTTACCGGCTCATCATGGTTAGGAGGTGTTTCTGGTTGTCGAGTTGCGATGTGCAGCAGGGGATTCATCCCCCTAACAGGGTTTCCTGAGGCTGAGGAGTCCGGCGTTTCCATCAGGAAACCCAGCTAAAGTAAACCAATATCAGGATCCACCACCGTCATGGTATCAAATTAGTCGCATGGAGGCAAATATTTCTCTGATCCACAAAGGCGGCGACTGGTTGTGGTAACATTGGGACTCCAGGGAATCACAATGGCTAAACCAACAAAGCTCCGGGGTTCGCACAACCAGTGAATACGTGCTGTCTAAGTATCCAAGTACTTGATTGTTATGTTTGTTCAGTAGAAACTTCACACAATGTTTGCTTTGCGTTGTTCACCTTATCCACTTAAATCTTTAGAGAAAGGTTTTGGAAAATGTTGATCTTAAAGAATGTCGTTTTTTGTAATTATATGGGAACATTTTGGTTTAAGGTACCGACGAACTGGCTGCGATATACAGTTCCGAAAGATGTTACAGTCATGGATTGGGTGATCGACTTCAACGAACGCGTAAAACAGCTGATACGAATAGGGACAAGCAGTAACCTCAAGGTGAGCACACAGTTACAGTGAAGGTGAAAATAAGTGTATCGTTCTTTTTTCGGCGTAATTTATTACCAAAACCAAAAAAATTTTATTTCTTTGTTCCCAACTGTTTCTTATTCTTTTTTTTCCTGGTCTTCTGTTATTTATTTCTACTCATATTTAGAACTTTGTTCATTAAAACCAGGTTTTTGTACCTTGAAACATTATAGCGTGAGGAAGTGTGGCTTGGTGGGACATTCTCCCCAGAAGCTTATGTAACAGCAACAAGACAGCAAGTAGCACAAGCAAACACTTGGTCACTTGAACAGCTTCACCTTCATGTAGTTATTGGAAGAACCGAACGTTTGGACGTCGTACGACTAACCGGTAAGTCGAAAAAGGGAGAGGGTTAGTTACGATGTTTAACCGTATTGTAGAAAAACTTATTATTGGTAAAGTTGTTGCTTTGTTACAACGGTTGTTTGATTTCAAGGTATGGAACTTCGTGGAGCAGAAACTAGTGGTGGAAACGCTCTGCGCTTGTCCGATGAAGTGAAGACAACTTGCGAATGTGTTGAATTTTCGTGGAAGCAGGTATTTTATTTGGTTTATACTATCGCAACAAACTGCGTTGCACTTTGATGCTGAAATATTTTTAAAACTTAGACCCTACGCCAAATTCGAATCCGCATCATTGTGATTGTATTTCACACAGTACCCTGCCATGAAAAAAAAAGGCAGTGAATAAAAAGTTTTACGTTTGATGCTCTGAGCCTTGTTTATGTGTGAGGAAGAGGAGATCTTCGTTCACCAGCTTGCCGAGGTCTGTCAATCAAGTGGTCAATATGTAGTTGGCTGGGAGGTGTTCCTGTGGTGTTGGGCTACGATATATGGCGTGGGGACTCATCCACCCACCAGGGTCTTCCAGTCTAGGGGAATGAGTCCGGGATTTCTCTCAGGAAGCCCAGCTAAGAATAAACGAATACTAGGATCCAACATCGTCCTAGTTTCAAATTAGCCGCATAGTGTCAAATCTCCTTCGATCCACAAGAGCGGCTACTGTCTGTGATGGTGATAACATGGAGCGGACTTTGGCCAGGCTTAGCTCAGGACTCCAGGGAACCACAAAGGCTTAACCAGCAAAACTCCGAAAAATGGTGACTATGCTGAGGGCTGCATAACGTGCCATCGAATTGTCGAAGTAAATAAGTATTGAGGCTTAAGATAGCTAAACATATCGGTTTAGGAGTGTCCCGAAGGTGTTCGCCTCCCACTCTATCTATATGGTGATCGTCGGCAATTGGTGACTTCGTTGGCATTTGCTGTGTCACCAGCGAATTCTTTCTATGAGAGAGGAGTGGCGCTGATCGCGAATTCGACACTTAACTAGACTTTTTGATCTTCCGGATAGCTTTACATATTGAAGTAACAGTTGCGTCAATAACTGTTGCAGAATTCATTAAGATCCATTTAAGTACAGCAGACATTGGATTTTTAAAGTATTGGAAGATCGTGATTTATGAAGTGTAATTTATTTGGAATTCTTTACGGTTTCATAATGTCTTTTTCTGTTAGAAAGTACTGGTCACGTGTAATAAACCGAGGTTTTGTATGGGATTTGGTAGTGTAGTGTTGTTAACGATTGTACAGATTTTTCCTCTCTATCTTCTACTGTTATAAACCTTGGTTTATGAGAGGTACATTTACAACGAAGTCTTTCTTATTTAAGGTTACTCAAAGACTTATTGGGGTCAAGCAACTGTCATAGATGGAGTGCACTCCAGTAATTGCTGGTTCGTTCCCGCACTATGCTAACCAGCCTTAGCATTTATGCGAGATGGAGAAACTGGTATCGGATTCGCAATATTTTGGCAAAGTAGTTTGTTAGACCCTACCCTACCGTTTAGTTTATCCTACCCTTTATCTCAAATGATATAAGTACAGCTATAAAACGCTGCTTAACAAGGGTGGGCTTAGAGAATTCGGTGAGCGTAGTTGAAATACCACCGAGTAATCTTAAGCGCCAGCTAGTTCGTAACCGCCTATATGACCGTCTATGTGCAACTCAAAATTGCATAATTTGCCCCAGCGGTAGAGACGGTGATTGCATGAGCTCGGGTATAGTTTATCTGATCTCCTGTAAGACGTGTGGTGACGAATACATTGGCGAAACGGGCAGGCCCCTCTGTATCCGCATAAAAGAACACCTAGCCGGCAAAAATAGACCAAATACCCCGCTAGGCACGCATAGGACCCAGAGACATAACGGGGACGACTTCGAAGTAAGTGTCACGATCCTCGCACGCGAATCGAGAACACAGACGCGAAAAACCCTCGAGGCACTCTGGATTAATTCCAGAAATCCGAAAATGAACCGCAGGGAAGAATGCCTCATTATCACGCGTGATATAGGGCAGTATATAAAACTGCTTTTCTGATGTGAGGGGCACATTATACTTCCACGTGATTTCTGTGCGGTTGGTCTCTACGTGATATACTTAGTGGAGACCTCATAGAAAGCGGTGAGTGTGCAAAGCTGTGTTCAAAGTGATTGAAATCTTGGTTTGGGGTTTCTTTGTTTGGTTATGGAGGCGTCTGGCCGAGTGAGTTGCTATCAACTTGACCTTTCCAGGCTCTGAAGAAGGCGAAATTCGCCGAAACGTCAGCTTAATCGTGAACAAAGAACAATAACACCTCGCGTTTGCTCAAAAAAATACGAACAAAATCAGTTTGTTAGACATTTGCTATCGCCTGTATCACTTATAACTGATAGTGCCGCAGAGCATGTTCAATTTAGGCGGATGTTTTGAGCATTCTAGAGTTCTATGATAAATCTAAAATCAGTATTTACAAGGGATTTATAATAATAAAGGAAATAATAATAAGGAGGTGCTTATAATAAATAAATTTAGAAGCGTTTTATTAATGCTTGGTTTCTATCGTTCAAATAGTTCTTTTTTTCGTAGAACCAATGAAAAAAGCCATGTTTTTCTAGCATCCAGTCCTATTCTGTGATTTGAGGACTTCGATTAGAATGTAGCCTTAATCCATAAATAAGTAACCCTACTTTCTTGAATTTGAAAATCACAAACAGAAAGTAGGTAAAAGGATAAATCATCAAGTGTTGATCAAGCTGTAAGGAATTCACCGCGGAACTCGATTTCATTATGCATCGTTAGAGACGGTTGAATGAAAAGCTGGCCTATACGGTGACTTATAGAAGGCTACGGATATAACAGTTCAGTGCTGCTATCCTCCCAGGCAGACAAGTCTTTTACCCAGTTACCCCACCCTAGGGTTGACTGCGCTTGCTAATCGTGTAATCGTAAGTGCAGGATCGAACCAACGACCAATTATGTAGTACAAAGAACCTCTAGCCACTACGTTACATGTACAGCAAACGTATATACCTGTCGAATCTATTATACTCGACTTCCTTATTGGAGGGAAAACTTGGACCTTTAATCTCTCTTCGCTAAGTTCGAATGTGTTTTAAGATAAAACTTATGATCTCCGTGCTGTAAACGAGATGTCTATTTTTGTCTGATGGACTGATTTGTTACGAAAAGTAATCTACAATGTGTCGTTTTGTTTTCCTTTTTAGAATTTTCCATAAGTACATAATGGACGAAAAGATGACTGGCTTCGAATTCTCGACACGTGTAGAAAGAGAGGCACTGGGAGCGCAGTTGTTTAGGGACCAGGTGGCAAAGGCTCTTATACACCGATTGTCACTATAACTCCTCTGCGTACCTGATGCTAGCCTATTGTCTTTTATCTTCTTCAAAGCACTTTCGATGCTACTAAAAACTCCACAAGATCCTGGTTTCTTTCTTCTCAGCTCCGGAGCTAAGTCGCTCATCAAGCTGATTTTCTGACTCAGCTACACAACTAGGACTTTCCCGGATATACAATCATCTCATCCTAAATAAGGCATCCTTAAGGGTTCTTCAAAATTTCTGTAGTCACTATCGCATGAACTGAGTCAAAACCCCTTTTTTAAAGTGAGCCGAACTTGTGCTCATGTGATATATCACGAAGTTTTTTTTATCACACGGACGTTTTCCACCGTAGTGAATTTTTTTCGAAACTCTCCTTTCTCGCATGATCGTGCTTTCGCCACTAGGATTTCCAATGTCGCGAAGGTGACTTTGGGTTCTACGAGAATGTCCTACTGATACTGCTTCCACTTATAGCCGTGCACTTTTGCGTGTAACGTGTGAAAATCGGACTTTTTGAAAAGGACTCTTTAGATGAATGTTGACGATAGGTTCTTCAAATGTTCAGGTCAAGACTGAGTACTGTTTGATTCTCCACCGACAAGCTAGCAGGTCGGATTTTAGAAGAAAGAACCACTGCGAAGACATTCATTATTCCTAATCTATTATGGAAACAGCTTAGCGTGGCTGTTGAAGGGATCACCATAGAAGTTGCAGATGACTTTCTTCACAATTTGTTTGGGAGTAGTGAGTGCTTCTTCGGAAGCTGGAATGCGACCACCTTTGTCGTATAACCGGTGTACTCGAGTAGAAAGTTGCAGACACTCTTCACATCCTCTACAGCTTCAGGCATTACTACTGCTCCTCTCAATTAAAAAAATCTATAGTCCATCAAAAACTCTATCAAAAATGCTAAATACAGTAAAAAAAAACCGGGCCTCATTCTCCTGACCCCGAAAGAGCCCCCAATTTCGTAGCGCTGGGTAGGACGAGTACGGAGAGGCTGCTAAAATCTCAGGGCCAATGGAAGCCGCCTGGATTTCAAAGAACTATGGTGACGATCTGAACCTACAATGCACGTACACTTGCATTCGAGTCCCCGGTAGAAGATTTGCTCATGCAAGCAAGAAGGATAAAGTACGAGGTCATCGGCATGGCCGAGACGAGAAGACGCCAGCCTTTCAACGCCGTCTATGACACCAGAGATGAACTGTTCCTCGGAACATGCAACAGTAGAGGAGTCGGAGGCGTCGGCGTTCTCGTCAACACGAGTTTGCCCATGAACATCGATTCATTCGAACAACTTATAGCCCGAATCGGACGTTTACGATCAAAAAGACGTGGATCAATTCCGGCTTTGATAATCTTCGTCGTTTACGCGCCGTCATCAAACTATGACGAAGAAGTCGAAGCGTTCTATATGGGCTTGGAGAAGTTCTACAGAGAAGATATACATTCTTCAAGGTCATCATTGGATATTTCAACGCCAGGATTGGACCAAGAGGAACGTCTGAAGAACGTCATATTGTAACCCACGGATTAGAATGGAACGAGCAGTGTGAACGGCTCTCTGTGTTTATCATGACGACCAAAACCATCGATGCTAACTCGCAATTCCAGAAGCCCAACCCTCAACGCTGGATGTGGAAGCCGCCCAGTGGAGAGTACAATAACGAAATAGACCACATCACAGTAAACAAAAGGTTTTCCCTAACCGATGTCGCTGTTGTCCGAAAATTGTACACGGGATCAGACCATCGTCTCCTTCGTGCAAAACTCGATTTCTCGCAGAAAGGAGAAAAGGCCGTAAATTCAAAGAACGAAGTCCCAAAACCACTATTAATTGGAACTTATTCAATTTATTAGTCAGCTGTT